TCTTGAGATTTCTTCTTTGACTCTTGTGTTATTTAAAAGTGTGTTGTTTAATCTCCATGTATTTTGGGGTTTTCCAGTTATCTTTCTGTTATTGATTGCTAGTTTAATTCCATTGTGGTCTGAGAGCAGACATTGTATGATTTCTGTTCTTTTAAATTTGTAATGGTGTGTTTTATGGTCCAGAATGTGGTCTACCGTAGTGAATGTTCCATGTGAGCTTGAGAGGAATGTGTATTCTGCTGTTGTTGGATGAAGTAGTCCATAGATGTTGATTACATGCAGTTGATAGATGGTGTTGTTGAGTTCAACTATATCCTTACTAGTTTTCTGCCTGTGCGATCTCTCCATTTCTGATAGGGCAGTGTTGAAATCTCCAACTAAAATAGTGGAGTTATCTGTTTCTCCTTGCACTTCTATTAGTTTTTGCCTCACGTAGTTTGACACTCTGTTGTTAGCTGCATACTTGTTAAGAATTGTTATATCCTGTTGGAGAACTGATCATTACATAATGCCCTTCTTTATCCCTGATAACTTTCTTTGCTTTGAAGTCTGCTCTATCTGAAATTAATATAGCTACCTGCTTTCTTTTGATTCGTGTTAGCATGGTATATTTTTCTCCATTCAGTTACTTTTAATCTATATGTCTTTATATTTAAAGTGAGTTTCTTGTAGACAACATATATTTGGGTGTTGTTTTTTGATCCACTCTGACAATCTCTTTTAATTGGTACATTTATACCATTGACGTTCAAAGTGATTATTGATATAGTTGGATTAATATCTACCATATTTGTTACTGTTTTCTACTTGTTGCCCTTGTTTTTAGTTCCTATTTTTGTCTTCCACTCTTTTTCTGACTTTTGCGGTTTTAATTGAATGTTTTATGATTCCACTTTCTCTCCTTTCTTAGGATATCAGTTATACTTCTTCTTTTACTTTTTTAGTGGTTGCCTTAGAATTTACAATATACATGTAGTGATCCAAGTTCACTTTCAAATAACAGTACACCACTTCAAGGGTAGTGTAAGTACCATATCCTAACAAAATTATCATAATTTTTGCCTCTTGTCCCTTGTATCGTTGTTGTCATTCATTTCACTTACATGTAAGCATACTTATACATTTTTGTTGTTGTTAGTGTCTTTGAATCGATTCTGACTCCTAGTGACCCTGTGTATAGCTGAGCAGAACCCTGATTGGTCTTTTCCTGCCATCCTCTCACTTTCCAGCGCTATATCAAACAATGCTCCACTGCTATTCATAGGGTTTTCATGGCCAATTTTTTTGGAAGTGAGTGGCCATGTCTTGCTTCTTAGTTTGTCTTAGTCTGGAAGCTCCACTGAAACCCATCCACCTTGGGTGACTGCTGGTATTTGAAATACTGGTGGCAGTGCTTTCAGCATCATAGCAACATGCAGCCATCACAGTATGACAGCTGACAGATGGGAGTTCATTTCCCAGTCAGGAAATGCCTGGGAAATGAACCTGGGCTGTGGTGGTCAGAGCGCCAAATCTTAACCACTAGACCACCAGGGCTGGCTATACATAAAGGCTTATATACATAAGCATATATATGTATATATGAACACACACACATAAGATACATACGTAAGCATACATAATCAAATACATTGTTGTTGTTTTGAATGAACTGTTATCTCTTAGATCAATTAAGAATAAGAAAAATAAGTTTTTATTTTACCTTCACTTATTCCTTCTTCAGTGCTCTTCCCTTATGTAGATCTGAGTTTCTGACCTGTGTTATTTTTCTTCTCTCTAAAGAACTTCTTTTAACATTTCTTACAAGGCAGGTCTACTGGCAACAAATTCCCATAGTTGTTTTTGTCTGAGACAGTCTTTATTTCCTTCATTTTTGATGGATAATTTCCCAAGGTACAGAATTCTAGCTTGGTGGGTTTTTTCTCTCAACACTTTAAAATATTTCACTCCACTCTTTTCTTGCTTGCATGGTATCTGAGAAGATGGATGTAACTCTTATCTTTGTTCCTCTATAGGTAAGGTGCTTTTTTCCTTCTGGTTTCTTTCAGGATTTTTTATCTTTGATTTTTTGTAGTTTGAAAATGAATCGCCTAGGTGTATTTTTTTTTTGGTATTTATCTTGCTTGATGTTCTCTGAGCTTCCTGGATCTGTGGTTTGGTGTCTGACATTAATTTGGGGAAATTCTCAGTTGTTATTTTTTCAAATATTTCTTCTGTTCCTTTCTCTTTTTCCTCTCCTTCTGGTATTCCCAGTATGTGTTTGTTACACCTTTTGTAGTTATCCCACAGTACTTGGATATTCTGTTTTGTTTTTTTCAGTCTTTTTTCTCCTTACTTTCAGTTTCAGAGGTTCCTATTGAGATAGCCTTAAGCTCAGAGTTTCTTTCCTCAGCTGTGTCCAGTCTACTAATAAGCCCATCAAACGCATTCTTTGTTTCTGTTAGAGTGTTTTTGATCTGTAACATTTCTTTTTGGTTCTTTTTTAGGATTTCCATTTCTCTGCTTCTGTTCTTGCCCATCTGTTCTTGCATGATGTCTATTTTATCCATTAGAGCCCTTAGCATATTAATCATAGTTGTTTTAAATTCCTGGTCTGATAATTCCAACATTTCTGCCACATCTGGTTCTGATGCTTTCTTTGTCTCTTCAAATCGTGTTTTTTGTATTTCGATGTGTCTTGTAATTTTTTTCTGATAGCTGGACATGATGTACTGGGAAAAAGGAACTGTTGTAACTAGGCCTTTAGTCATGTGGTGGTAAGGTGTGGGGGGAGGGGAAGCACCCTGTGATTAGGTCTCACTCTTTTAGTGAGCCTGTCTGTGCCTCTGGACTGTGAACGTCACAAGTGTTTTAGGTTTTTTCCAACCCCCTTGGGTGGGAGAGGATGACAAGAGTGGGCTAGAGTTGGGTATTTGTCTTCCTCCAGGTCAGTTAGGCTCTGATAATACCCTAAGAGGTTAGGCTCTGGTTGACTAGTTCTCCTGAGGGCAGAGCTTGTTAAGAACAGAGTGAGTGCTCTGGTATACTTCAAAATGGTTCCTTTTTCCTACCCACTGTGGGAAGTATGAGGGGATTTTTCTCTGATATTTACTGGGAGGACCTGGTTGAGCTCCTGGATATAAATCTCACAAAATTGTGGGGGTGAGTACCTCTTGAGGTTTTCTTTTTTTTTTTTTGGTGAGGAAGATTAGCCCTGAGCTAACATCTATTGCCAGTCTTCCTCTTTTTGCTGAGGAAGATCGGCCCTGAGCTAACATCTGTACCCATCTTCCTCCATTTTTATATGTGGGATGCTTGCCACAGCATGGCTTGATGATGAGCGATGCGTAGGTACACACCCGGGATCTGAACCTGCAAACCCCTGGCCACCAAAGCGGAGCAAGCAAACTTAACCACTATGCCACCGGGCCAACCCCTGAGGTTTTTCTTTTTTTTAAAGATTATTTTTTTAGAGAAGTTTTAGTTTCACAACAAGATTGAGAGGAAGGTACAGAGATTTCCAATGTATCCCCTGCCCTCATACGTGCATAGCCTCCCGCGTTATCAACGTTACTCACCAGAGTGGTACATTTTTCACCAAAAATGAACCTACATTGATGCATCATAATCACCCAAAGTCCATAGTTTACTTTAGGGTTCACTCTTAGTGTTGTACATTCTGTGGATTTGTACAAATTTATAATGACATGTATCCATCATTATAATATACAGAGTATTTTCACAGTCCTAAAAATTCTCTATGCTTTGCCTCTTTATCCCTTTACTACCCTCACTCCTGACAATCACTGATCTTTTTATTGTCTCCATTCTTTTGCTTTTTCCAGAATGTCATGTATTTGGGATACAGTATGTAGCCTTTTCAGATTGGCTTCTTTCTCTTAGTAATATACGTTTAAGGTTCCTTCATGTCTTTTCATGGCTTGATAGCTCATTTCTTTTTAGTGCTGAGTAATACTCCATTACCTGGATGTACCACAATCTATTTATCCATTCACTTGGTGAAGGACATCTTGGTTGCCTAGTTTTGCCAGTTATGAATGAAGCTGCTGTAAATATCCATGTGCAGGTTTTTGTGTGGACCACCCTGGAGTTTTTAACACTCAGACGTGTCTACTCTGAGCCTCCAGCAATTGGTCACTTTCAGTTCAGGTTTTCCTACTCTGGCACTGGATCCTATGATAGTTTCTGTTCCTGAGTCTCTGCTTCAGTAAGCCATGACTCTTTGTATATTTTCCTGTCTGTCTCTCCAATATTGGGGTCAGCGATTTGCACTGTGTCCTTGCCTCTCTTAAGAATTCCTAGGAGAGTTGTTGATTTTTCAGTCTGTTCAGCTTTTTACTTGATAAGACAGAGTGGTGACTTTCAAGCTCCTTACTGTGGAACCAGAAACTGGAAAAACTTAAAATTGAAAAACTTAAATTAAAAAAACTACTTTTTTAAATGAAAAAATAGTGCATAAAAAAGTAGGGTATGTATATGATTTTAAAAAGTGAACTATGTAGAAGGAATGCAATGAAACATTTAAGTCTCTTTCCCATCCTAGATCTTAGTTCTTCAGGCCTTCTCCTTAGAGGAAACCACTGTTAATAGTTTCGTGTATATTCTTCCATAGGTAATCTCAGCATGTACAAATATATATGTATATGTAATCTTTTTGTAAATAAGCAAATGGAAGCATATTTAACATGTACTGAACCTTGTTTTTGCTTCCTGTATCTTAGAGTTCATGTCATATCAGCACACAAACATCTATTTCATTCTTTTTTATGGCTACATATTCCATTAGATATGTATGTCATAATTTAACACCTTTCACCTCCCCATGATGAACATTAATGATGTTTCCAGACTTTTAATTAAAATTAGTGTAGCCATGTACATACATCTTCATAATGTGTGAATAATCTGTGAGGTACATTCGTAGAAGTTATCTCCTTCATATTAGTAAATACCTATAATTGTTTTATGAGTATAACATGAATTTTTTCCCACTCCTTTAGAAAGAAGCCTAAGAAGAGAGAAAATGGAATTGGATGTAGAAGGTCAATGCGATTACTAAAAGTAGATCCTTCAGGAGTTTCATTACCAGCAATCCCAACCAAGCCAACATTATTAGTAACAGATGAAAATGTAAGAGAGTGCCAATACATTATGTTAACTCAATAAAATACTCAAAAATTTGAAGTGTTTGACTAGACTAAAAAGTCATTGAGTTATGTTTAATTTGTACTTCCTGAGTACTTCATTGATTTAATGCTTGACTGTTGTATGGTTTAATAAGTAAGATTTCAAAGTCATAAAGACTGGGTTGGATTCTATATTTCTCCAGGCTTACCTGCTGTGGGATTGTGGGTAAATTACTTAATCTTTCTGAGCCTTGATTTCCCCATTTTTAAAATGGCAACAATAATACAAACCTCCAAGGGGTATTGCGAGGGTTAAATGAAATAGTATCTATAAAGTTCCTTACATTGTATTAAGGGCTTAGTAATCAATAAATAGTAGTTAGTAATATTATTAATAATAAATAATATGTGATAATAGTGATGGGGGTCCCTTGCTGTAGTTTAATTTTATACTATCAGGGAGTAGAAAGAGTTTCATTTACCAAATTTATTGTCTAAATAAGAATTATATTTATTATTCAAGAGCCCCACCTACTGTTTTTAATAGTTTATATCAAAGTGCTTAATTACAGATTGGAACATAGCATTAATTAGGCTCATGCTTTGGGAACTAATTGCAAATTAAGGTGCTGTGGGAAGAGTAGCTTTCACATTTATTTGAAGCCTCCACCCACTATAAGAAATATAATTACATTGAACCCATTCTACACACACACACAGACAACTGAAACAAAACTTTTGTGAATTGATACTTATCCTTATTACATGTGATGCATTTTTGTATTTTCTATTCTTTTCTCATTCACTAAAACACATTGCTGGTTGTGATGTATTAAAATGATTTCACGACCCATGGGTTACAGCCTGTAATTTAAAACACTGGCATAGAATAATAACTTTAAGTAATAAAATCCAATTGATCTGAATCAGTTCCCAGCAATTCCAGTTATTGGCATTATAACTTTGGACAGGTTAACTTCTCTAAGTTTCATTCCAGTGTCTTTAAAATGTGGTGTCTCATTCACTGGATTAGTGAGAGCATTAAATGAGATAATACATGTTATTACTTTACAGGATACCTAGCATTCATTGACCAACTATTTTTGAATGCTAACGATGTGTCACCCCTGTTGTTGGTTTTGAAAGTAAAGTAGTAAAAAACCTCAAGCTTCCATTCTAGGGCAGGGTGACAATCAACTTTTTGTTTCTTATTTTTTATAACAGCCTTTGTTACCTCCTGGGCCTTTAGAAATGACTCCTGAAAATCGAGATGATAACAGTGAACTATTTAAAGGATTTCTGCAGACTTGGGCAGAAGTGAACAAGGTATCACTTGGGAGGGCTTATAGCTATTAGAATCATCTGTTAAGGAAATTTCAGTATGTATATTAACTTAGTTCTTTGGTCTCTCTCATTGCTTCAGACAAATAGTAAGAACACTGAGGAGTTATCTAGCATTAAAAGGTGAGTTAAAATTCCTTGCCTTTGTTTTAGACTTTCTGAGATTTTTAAGTTGCAAAGACTATCTACCGTTACAGGAAATTTTGAAAATGAGGTGAAAAAATTACCCATAATGTCTCCACGCTAGCAACTGTTGTTTTTTATACTTCCTTTCTTTCTTTTTTTTTTTTATTTTTTATTATTTTTTATTTTTTATTTTTTTCCCCCCAAAGCCCCAGTAGATATTTGTACGTCATAGTTGCACATCCTTCTAGTGGCTGTATGTGGGACACAGCCTCAGCATGGCCCGAGAAGCGGTGCGTTGGTGTGCGCCCGGGATCCGAACCCCGGGCCGCCAACAGTGGAGCATGCGCACTTAACCACTAAGCCACGGGGCCGGCCCATATACTTCCTTTCAAGTATTGCCATATGCAATACCACTAGGATATAAGCTTCATGAATGCAGGGATTTTGTCTCAGTAACCAGTAACAGTGCCTGGCACATAATATATATTCATTCAATGTTTAATAGTGAATGAATCCACTTAAATTTTTACTTTTGTATGTTCTAATGTATATACAATTTTGCATTGTGCTTTTTCATTAACATTGTGGTTGTATGTGACTAGAGTCCTTAAATTTATTGAATAATTGCATAACATTCCATTGAGTAAGTGGAATTTACTTAACTTCCTCTTTCTTCCTTGGTATTTGGAGTTGTTTTCTATTTATTTTTGTGTGTTTGTATGTATACATGTGTTTCTTGAAGTATGTATGTGTGATAGTGGGTTATTTCCTTAGGATAGATTCTGGAAGTGAGATTAAGGAGTCAAATATTGTGGACATTTTAATGGCTTTTAGTAAACATTGCTGAATTGATTTCCAAAATCTTTTTTTTCCTTAGGAAAATCTTATATGAACTTACTCTGCCACTAGCAGTGTATATGAATTTTTATGTTTAACTGCAGTCTACTAGCGTTTATAAGTGAAAAATTTCTTTGGTTACCAGGAGGTTGAATATTTTCCCACATTTATTTACTAATTGTGATTTTTCTTTTTGAATCAGCTTTTACTTAATTTGACTGTTGAGATTGGTTTTACTTCTAAAATTTAAATTTTTAATTTTCTCAGCTACAAAGCCAATTTAAGTGGCATGGTCATCAGTGAAGATACTGTTAATAAAGTTACCAAAGGCTCAATATTGTCTATAGCTATTCACCCATCAGAAATTAGAACTTTGGTGGCAGCTGGGGCCAAATCTGGCCAAGTTGGACTTTGGGATTTGGTAAGTTATTATTAATTTTTTGAAGATATTAAAGTTTGACTGAAGCAAATAGTCTGCAAGAGAATAGCCTAGAGCCATGTATTTATAGATGTTGAGGTTTATAGTTTTGTGCTTTGTGTTTCCAAGTTTTAGAAATCTGGAGGAATTTAAATTTGCTTTATAGAACTTTAATAGTTTTAGCTTGAATATCATTAGTCATCTGGGCATAAATCAACTGCCAGGAAACTATTACAACTTTAAATGTGTATATGAAAAGATCACACAAAGTTCTTAGTTTTCTAATTGTGTTTAAAATACAGTTTCCAAGCTGTATCAAAATATCTTCCCAGGGATCTGCTTAGGATGATCCCAGTCATTTTTTGATGAGTCAGAAACAGATATTGAATTCCATTCATTGGCCATATTATTCTGCATTGATTGCTTTCAGTGGTTACAAAATTGAGAAAAGCCAAGTTAATGTTCTCTGAACTTATTTTCTAATTGGGAAAGTAGAACCAAGACCTGAAAAATGCTGTAAGGACATTAATGGAGATGAAGAAACCATGACTTGAAGATGGTGGGGGTTAATAAACAGATTTTATAAATGAGAAGAGAGAAATAAAAAGTAAACTCTCTCTTATTTTGGGAGCATAGGTTCTTGCTTATTTTGATAAGATGTGAATGGGAGTAGGAGGTGAAAGGATTTAGTAAAGAAAACAGAAGGAGAGAGATGGGAAGAGGACCAGAAATAGTATAGGGTTGTACAAGCTGAGAGATGAGTTTCAAGGATGGGAGTTTGACAGGGCCTCTTGCAAAGAAGTTAAAAAGAATGGGAACAGAGAAAAGGCCATTGGTTTTTTAAAATAGGGTACCATTAGGGCCAGCCCCAGTGGCCTAGTGTTTAAGTTCGGCATGCTTGCTTTGACGGCCCAGGTTTGGTTCCCCAGCATGGACCTGTACCACTTGTGAGAGGCCATGCTGTGGCAGCGACTCACATACAAAATAGAGGAAGATTGGCAACAGATGTTAGCTCAGGGCAAATTCTCCTCAGCAAAAAAAAAAAAAAAAAAAAGGAACCATTAGCAAGTTGAAAGAATAGCTTCAGCAGTGAGGTAAGGAAGGTAACAGACTTTAGGAGAGTAAAAAAACCATGGGGTAGAGGAAGACATGGAAGCAATGGGTAAAGACTCTTTGTCTAAGAACTTTGAAAAGGAAAACTAGAGAATTAGCATAGGCAAGTGAAGATCTTTTCAGAGTGGGTTGATCTGTACAGAGTTGAAGACATATAGAAAAGTCCCTTTGTCATGTCTTTCCTCGTGACTCCAAAAATCTGTATTACTAGGTCTCTGTAGTCCAATATCTCTATCAACCTTCTAATTTTCCAGGACACTGGCTATCTCATTAACAGATTGAGCAAATCTAAAACCAATATCTTGGCTGTCCTGTGCTCACCCCCCAATTCCCCTGGTTTTTAAAACAATTAACTGTGTTTTTTGTGTGTGTGTGAGGAAGATCAGCCCTGAGCTAACATCCATGCCAATCCTCCTCTTTTTGCTGAGGAAGACTGGCCCTGAGCTAACATCTATTGCCAATCCTCCTTCCTTTTTTTTTTTCCCCCTTTTCTCCTCAAAACCCCAGTAGATAGTTACGTCATAGTTGCACATCCCTCTAGTTGCTGTATGTGGGACGCTGCCTCAGCACGGCCAGACAAGCGGTGCGTCGGTGCACGCCCAGGATCCGAACCCGGGCTGTCAGTAGCGGAGCGCACGCACTTAACCACTAAGCCATGGGGCCGGCCCCTAAAACAATTAACTTTATTGAGGTATAATATACAGATTATAAAATCCACACTTTTTTTTTTTTGTGAGGAAGATCAGCCTTGAGCTAACATCTGCCAATCCTCCTCTTTTTGCTGAGGAAGACTGGCCCTGGGCTAACATCCGTGCCTATCTTCCTCCACTTTATATGGGACGCCACCACAGCATGGCCTGACAAGCGGTGCGTCGGTGCGCTCCTGGGATCTGAACCGGGCGGCCAGCAGCAGAGCTCGCGCACTTAACCGCTACCCCACGCGGCCGGCCCTTAAGTTCATCTTTTTGTATGTGAATATCTGATTATCCCAGCCTGTTTGTTGAAAAGACTATCCTTTCTCCATTGAATTGCCTTAATGCTCCCTCAGTTTTTCCTCTTAACTTTCTGTCGGATTCCTAGTTTCACTTAGGATCAAAAATTGAGTTATTTATTTAGTCATCCATCCACCCATTCATTCATTCCACACTTATTGAGTATTTTGTGCTAAGTACTATTCTAATGACTCTCCAGCCATTAGACATTTGTGAGCAAAGACTGTTTCTGTCGTCATAGAATTTAGAATTTAGTGGCAAAAGCAGCATTACTGAAATATGTAATTACATATTTGATAAGTGGAGTGAATTATATTCTGTGATTAATGGAGTGAAGGAAAAGTAGTGTTATGAAAACATATAACGGGAACTGGCTTAATTTGGAAGATCAGCGAAGGCTTCCCTGAGGAAGTGAGAATTGAGTTGATATTTGAAAGCTAACTAGGAGTAAACCAAGCAAAGAAAGGGGAAAGAGTGTTTAAGCAAGGGAAACAGCATGTCAAGGGCCTTAGGCAGAAGGGTACCTACTTGATACCTTCAAGGACCTGAAAGAATGCCTGTGTGGCTGGAGCATAGACAGCAAAGGAATGAAAAAAGGAGATGAATGGAATAGGAGGAAGCTGAAGAGGTGGGCAGAGGCCAGATATAAGTTTTGTTAAGAATTTTGGTTTTTATCTTAAAAGCAACAGGAAGCCATTGAAGAGTTTTAAGCTGGGTCTTCCTTTCATTCCGTATGTCTAGTAAAGTCCTTAAATTGTTTTGTCCATTTCTTTCCATCCTTACTGCCACCATGTTGGGCCAGGGCCCCATCTTCTTTCTTGAGATTACCACAATAGTCTTAACTGGTGCCTGTACTTCTAGTTTTCCTATTCCAGTCCAGTGTGCACAGATAGTCCTTTCTAGGCTCAAAACAGACTGGTCCTGGACTCATTTAGGTTCAAAGTAGTTAGAAGCACTCTTAACCTGATATATTCAGATTAAAATGGGGGATTGGAGGCCAGCCCAGTGGCGTAGTGGTTAAGTTTGCGCGCTCTGCTTCGGCGGCCTGGGGTTCGCACGTTCAGATCCCGGGCTCGGACCTACGTACTGCTTATCAAGCTATGCTGTGGCAGGCATCCCACATATAAAGTAGGGGAAGATGGGTACGAATGTTAGCCCAGGGCCAATCTTCCTCAGCAAAAAGAGGAGGATTGGCAATAGATGTTAGCTCAGGGCTAATCTTCCTCACAAAAAAAGAAAAAATGGGGGATTGGAATTTTCCCATAGAATGAGCAAAAGATAGTCAAATCAGCAAAAAAAAAAAAAAAAAAATCACTTACAGGAATAAGGAAGAAGTATAACTTAAGTGTACTTCAAAAACTAGCCACCAAGGACAGAAATAAATTCTGTAGCCGAGCTGGGCACTCGGGGTTTAGCTTATACACAGCATGGTTTAGCTTATACCCTGCTCCATCTCCAAAATCCGTACTGGTGAATTGACCAAACCCTGAGAATTTTCACCTATATCCTCAAAACTAGAGAGAAGCACATTGAGTGGACATTTAGATTTTTCCTCTTTTGAGTGAGAAATAGGGGAATGGCTGTTGGGGGAAAATGGGCAAAAACAGGGGAAATGGGGAAAGTGAATAGTAGGACTAATTCTCTACAAAGGAAATTTTCTTGGTCTATAAAGAGGGATATAAGCCCCCCCTCCCCCAACCCCACCAAGTAGGTGATATGAATCCAGGTATAAAATAATGAACAAAATCTCAGAGTCTAGGAATTTCAATAAATACTGCATACTGTTTGAGCTGAAACCAACTCGACCTGTCTCCTCTTGCCTCATCTTTCCTCCTGGCTACAGAGAAGCCTGTCCTTGTCTGAGGAAAAAATGAACTGGTATGAGATACTGGGAGAACGAGTCAATATGTTATATCAGAGCAACTAGCATGGACAGAGTAATTCAAGCATGATGAAAATGAAAAGAAATGACATGGAAACTAGACAAATACCACAAAAACAGCAAAATAACCCAGCGTGCAAAGACAGACCTAGAAGAAAAACATAAGGAAAGGAAGGAAATTCTCCCTAGTTGCTCCAGACTGTAGAACTGCACTATTCAATACAGTAGCTACTAGTCATATGAGACTGTTTACATTTATAATTAAAATAGAAAATTCAGTTCTCAGTTAAACTAGGCACATTTCAAGTGCTTAATAGCCACACATGGCTAGTGGATACCATATTGGACAGAACATCTCAGAAAGTTCTTTTGGACAGTGCTGCCATGGAGTAAGTTAATGACAACATTAATTTGGTAAAATATGACTCAAAGACAATAAAACAACAGAATGAGATGAAAAAGGAGATTGCAGAGCTAAGGAAACAATTCAAGATCAATGAAACTAATAAATTAGACAAAAGCAAGGAACAGAATAGACATTGATGAAAATTAAATTACAGAAATTAAAGGAAAGATTTGAGGTAATCTCAAACAGATGAAAAAAGCTTTAAGAGACAAGTCAATAGAAAAGGAAAGGGGCCGGCCCTGTGGCTTAACGGTTAAGTGCGTGTGCTCCGCTGCTGGCCGCCCAGGTTCGGATCCTGGGCACGCACCGACGCTACTGCTTCTCCGGCCATGCTGAGGCCACGTCCCACATACAGCAACTAGAAGGATGTGCAGCTATGACATGCAACTATCTACTGGGGCTTTGGGGGAAAAAATAAATAAATAAATAAAATTATAAAAAAAAAATAGAAAAGGAAAGACAAGGATGACCCAACGAATGGAACAGAAAACATATTCAAAGAGAATTTTTCTGAAAAGGCAGAATTGAATTGGCAGATTGAATGTGTACACCAAGTTCTAGGAAAATTTGGAACTTAAAGGATAAAGAATTCTTCAGGCAGAGAAAACAAATTATATTCAAGGTGAAAAGCCAGGCTTGCCACACTTTTCTACAGCGACATTTCATGTAATGTCAACAAAGTTCTGAGGGAAGGAAGTGTGGCCCTGGAATAACTTACCGGCACAAGATATTGTTCTAATGTAAAGGCACAGGTAGGTGTTCTCAAATGTGAAAAAACTCAAGAAATTCAAGACCTGTGAGTTCATCTGGAAAAAAACTGCTTGACAGCAAATCTCAGCCAATTAAGAGTAAATCAAAATTAAGAATTCAAGAATGGAGAAGCTACACAAAAGAATTGATGATGAGCATTGAATCCATTTACATGCAGAACATAATATTACACAGCCATATGAATTATAGTTACAGAACTGGATGTGAATGTTATCAACCTTGTCAAAATAAAAATAATAATATAACAAAATATAGAGAAGGAGAAAGGGAAGATTGGAGGAGGGGCGAGAATAATGTTCTCAATCAATAGAAATCATCTAAAATTGAGACAGTTAAAAAAATAAAAAAGCATAATGACTACAACTGCTTTATGTTTTATACTTTTTCCTTTTTAGGAGATATCTCTGTAAAGAAATACTTGAAGTTCAAAAATTCCCTCAGCCTGATTTTCTTTTATTATTTTGAAGTATAATTAAGACTATTAAAAATGGCATATATAGCATGGTCTTATTTTTTCTAAATGTCTCCTCTGTCATTCTGTCTACATAAGTGCATATAAAGATATCTGTAATGATAATTTTGGTTAATTTTAGGTTTGGAGTGATTTTTAAAAACTTTTGTCTTTGTACATTTCCATATTGAGTTCCTTATAACAATGGAGAGTTTTGTTTTTCTAAAAAATAAGTACTATAAACAAGATGTTAACTGTGGTTAATTTGGGGTAGGAGGAGGAGTGTGTGTGATGGTGATTTTTTTCTTTCTTTTTAAAAATTCTTCTTTTTATTTGAAAATTTAAAATAGAAAACAAATGCTTGAATATTTCAGAGCAGACTAAGCCAGATTTGGAGATGATAGTTGATCTGGTTCATAATATGACATGGCACAGGAATATAACTTATCCAAATCTGAGAAGTGATGATTTAGGGGTAGGTAATGCAGTTGTGGAAAGGATAATCCTTAGAAGTAGTAATACTAATGTGGAAATTCAAATATATGACTTTTCATGGTATAATTAGGGGATAAAATATTTTAAAAACTATTATTCTGTGGCAGGACCAAACACCTTATGAAAATTGCACTGAGAATGATATATTATATAGAAGTACACTTAGGAAGCAAAGTGGTAATGGTATTAATATTGTTTTTGGTAGGAAGGGATTATGCTGTGTGTGAAATAAAGAGTAGATTTCTCATTTCCTGAGGATTTCATGAACTGAAGTCATAATAAGCAGTAATTTTTTCCCTCTGTATTATGAAAAGACTGGTTTGCTAGTTAAAATAAATGTGACAATGTTGCTAGATTGAAAAATTAGAAAAATGTAATTTATTAACAGTATAAAGTTTCTAGTTCTGACTTTCTGAATGGGAGGGTGGATACAATTATAGACTAAGAAAAGACTGAATATAATACAGATGTAAATAGTTTAATGACATAGAAAATATTACTACTTCTGACTAGTTTTTATCTCTCTCTCCGCCCCCAACTCTCTTCTAGACTCAACAACCTAAAGAAGATGGAGTTTATGTTTTTCAACCCCATAGTCAGCCAGTTAGCTGTCTTTACTTCTCACCTGCCAATCCGGCTCATATACTGTCACTGAGCTATGATGGCACGTTACGCTGTGGGGATTTTTCCAGGGCTGTTTTTGACGAGGTAAATGTTAATGTGTTTACGTGTTGACTTCAGATAATATTCTGGATTCTCTATGAAATGCTACATGACTGATTATTATACCAGATTGGGTGAGGTGGTATAGAATAGGGACTTTAGAACTATACTGCCTGAGTTAAAATCCCAGACCATCTGTTACTACTTGTGTGACCTTGGCAAGTTACTTAACCTCTTTGTGCCTCAATTTCCTTAGTTGTGAAATGAGGTAGTAATAGTATCTGCCTTACAGGGTTGTCATGAGAATTAAATGAGTTAATGCAGATAAAGTACTTAGAACAGAGCCTGGCACATAATAAGTGTTCGCTCATATTATTTTTATTTTTTCATTTTTGCAAAAAGCTTTTGAATAAAATAACTTACTCTTCTATTTTTAGGCTTAAGACTTGTACTTCTTTTTCATTCAGGAAAAAGAATTGGAATATTATTATACTTTTGTTCATCCTTCCTAGCCTTTGCAGATATGAATTTTGTGGGGATGAGACTTACATGTGGCAAAAAGACTATAGAGAAATTCATCACATAACAGTACTGCATTACATTATACTCAAAACTTTTGACTTGTAATATAACACAGAAACTTTAAAATTTGGTTTTCTCTAGTCTTCTAGCTAAGATTTATCATGTCTTATATGCCATATATATCTGATGGTAAAGAGGTTAGCTCAGCTGCTTTTATCTGGTGAAGTTAGAATGAAAAACAGCCATAGCATGTCATATAATTGTACTCTGGCAAGAAATGGACACCTGGGCCGTTTTATGCAGAACATCTTAGGCCAAGTTTATTTGTAACCACCTGTTGAGGATAAAGTCTTTTCCTGGGCTGGTCTAACCCCTGCAAGGTCAAATTAAGTTGAAGCCTGTTTAAGAATAGTTGAAAGATCTTGGGCTCATACTCATGACCACCCATCCTCCCAGAAACACTCTACCTAGATCACCAGACTACTCCTTGGAGGTTTTCTAATCAGGTGATCTCTGGTGGGGTAGGCCAGAAACTTCCAAACGCCTGGGGAATCTTCACAATATTGGATCCCAGTGATTACGTTTTGGTCTACTACTTAAATATCTGCTACTTAATGCTTGCAACAAACATATCATTTGAGGTGAACTTGCAGATTTACTTAACTGTATAGGATTTCCTCAATAAGGGAATTCTTACAAATCAAACTTTTTTTTTAATAGAGATTTTAATCTTTATGAAACTTAGGATGGTTTAGATGTAGGTTTTCATCCTTTATCTTATTTCGAATGAGACTTTTAAAGTTTTTAGAGGTCCTCAGTATAAGAGCAATTTATATGTGATGGACAATGAAGAGAACAGGGTACTCATCACTGAAGTTGCTTTGTAAATACTAATTTATTATCTAATTTTATGCCTTAATTTTTTATATAAGCAGTACTCAAAATGAACAGATTCTGATGTCTTTGTAATTATTCTAATATTCCATGTACAGATGATTCATAATTATCTTTAAAAGAGTTTTAAAATAATCGTTTTAATAATTATAGTATAGTACGTACCTGCTTTTGTTTTGTTTTTCACTGTATTCCTAAAATGATCTTTTTTTTTTTTTATAATTTTATTTATTTATTTTTTTCCCCCAAAGCCCCAGTAGATAGTTGTATGTCATAGTTGCACATCCTTCTAGTTGCTGTATGTGGGACGCGGCCTCAGCATGGTCGGACAAGCGGTGCGTCGGTGCGCGCCCGGGATCTGAACCCGGGCCGCCAGCAGTGGAGCGCATGCACCCAACCGCTAAGCCACGGGCCGGCCCTAAAATGATCTTTCTTAAAATTGGGGAAGCTTTTTCTCTCTGCTGAGAGCTAATAGTTTTTGGGTTTTCTTTTTTTTTTAATTTTTTTTTTTAAATAATTTTATTTATTTTTTCCCCAAAGCCCCAGTAGATAGTTGTACGTCATAGTTGCACATCCTTCTAGTTGCTGTATGTGGGACGCCGCCTCAGCATGGCCAGAGAAGCGGTGCACTGGTGGGCGCCCGGTATCCGAACCTGGGCCTCCAGCAGCGGAGCGCGTGCACTCAACCACTAAGCCACAGGGCTGGCCCTTGGGTTTTGTTTTAAAAGGGAGGATGTTTAAGTCCCTTGAGGTCTGTTTATAACCATATGAAAAAAGACTTTTCAAGACTATTAATGTGTTGCTGGTCAGAGACTTGATTTCTTAATTACTGACAATTAGAAGAAACAGTTCCTTTTCTTATCAGTATCTTTGCTTCTTTTTTTCTTATAATTTTTATTTCTAGCATCCTTTTTAGAAATAAATGCGCTATCAATTGTGGATTAAATGAGATAATTTTTGTGAAAAGTATTCTTTAAACTGTTTAATGGTAGCACTTTGGTTATTAATGCACAACTATGTAGTTATCTGTGCAAGTCATGTTTTGTTTTGTATTTGTTTATATTCTTACAAGAAGGTTGGAGTTTGAAATTTAAAGGTACATCTGTATTTTATCAGCCACTTAATAACTGATTGTACTTATTTTTTTAAACAACTTTACCAAAATATAATTCACATACCACACAATTCACCCATTTAAAGTGTAAAATCCAATGGTTTTTAGTATATTTACAGAGTTGTGAAACCATTACCACAATCTAATTTTAGAATATTTTCTTCTCCCCAAAAAGAAACTCCTTGCCCATTAGCAGATACTCCCAGTTTTCCCCTCCTTCCAACCCTAGGCAACAACTGATCTATATAGATCTGCCTGTTTCTGTCTCTATCGATTTGCCTGTACTGGACATTTCATATAAATGGAATCATACAATTTGTAGTCTTTTGTGACTGGCTTCTTTTACTAACAAAATGTTTTAAGGTTCATCCATGTTGTAGAATGTGTCAGTACTTCATTCTTTTTTTATGGGTGAAGAATATTCCATTGTGTGGATAGACCATATTTTATTCATCCATTCATTAGTTGATGAACATTTGGGTTGTTTGCATTTTTTACTATTGCAAATAATGCTGTTATTTGTGCAAAAGTTTTGTGTGGACATATGCTTTCATTTCTCTTGGGTATATACCTATATATACCCAATATGGGAATTGCTGGGTCATATGGTAACTCTATGGTTAACATTTTGAGGAACTGCCAAACTGTTTTCCAGACTGGCTTCACCATTTTACGTACGCATCAGCAATGTAGGAGAGTTCCAGTTTCACCACATCCTTGCCAAAACTTGTTATCATTGGTTAGTATAGCCATCCTAGTGGGTATGAAGTGGTATCTCATGTGGGGTTTTTTTTTTTTTTAATTATTTATTTATTTATTCCCCCAAAGCCCCAGTAGATAGTTGCATGCCACAGCTGCACATCCTTCCAGTTGCTGCAAGTGGGACACGGCCTCAGCATGGCTGGAGAAGCGGCGCATTGGTGCGCGCCTGGGACCCGAACCCGGGCCGCCAGCAGCGGAGCGCGCGCACCCAACCGCTAAGCCACGGGGCCGGCCCTCTCATGTGGTTTTGATTTGAATTTCCCTAATGATTAATGATGCTGAGCATCTTTTCATCTGCTTATTGGCCATTTGTATTTCTTTAGAGAAATGTCTATTTGGATCCTTTGCCTATTTTTTAATTGGGTTATCGGTCTTTTTAGTGTAGAGTTGTACGAGTTCTCCATTTATTTATTTTTTTAAGTCAGGTTTATTGAGGTATAAGTTACATACAGTAAAATTTACCCTTTTAGGTGTACAGTTCTATGAGTTTTGGAAAATTGTCTATACCTGTGTGACCACGACCACAATCAAGGTATAGAAAATTTTCATCACCCCAAAAAATTACCTCATGACCGTTTGTAGTCAGTCTCCTCTCCCTTCCCGAAGCCCGTGGCAACCACTGATGCGATTACTGTCTCGATAATTTTGCCTGTTTCAGAATATTAAGTAAATGGAATCATACAGTATGTAACTTTTGTCTGGCTTCTTGTACTTAATGCTTTTAAGATTCATCCATGATGTTGCATGTATCAGTAATTTGCATTACTGATTGAACTATTGATACTACTCATTGAACAATTACCTTGTGTTAGGCATTAACCTGAGTGTGCTTTATATATATATATTATTAAGCCTTATAACACCCTATGAAATAGGTAATGTATCCCCATTTAACAACTGAAAAAACTGAGGTAAAGATGTTTATTACCTTGCTCAAGGCTGTAAATGGAAGAACGAGAATTTGCACTTGGGTCTGTCTGACTCTAAAGCCCCTGCACTTAACTATTTTAATATACTGCCTGAATACTTCAAGTTTCATTTGTGTATATTGGGCTTTTTTGTGTGTGTGTGGGCTGGGATGCCTTTGGTATATTAATTTGTTAATCTCAGTTTATAATAATACTTGTTATTAAAAATAAAAAGCAGCAATTCATGATTCAGTGATTAGAATTGTGGTCACTCTCCCTTACTTGAATACTGACACATTCTGCAACATTTGTTTTTTCCTTGTATGTGTGAGCCCTGAACCCAAAGTGATAGTACTGTGGATTATAAGTGATTAAAAAATTATAATAATACATGCTCATGATAAAATATTTACAATAAATAGGGTATGCAAGGTAAATCTGCCCTTCCCCCATTCCCATTCTTCAGAAGTAACCCTTGTATCTTTTGGGTATGCTTCCAGAAAGTAGACATATACTTACAAGCATGTAGATATAGATTTTTTTCTTTGCACTTATGGATTCATACATACATACTTTTTTGCAACTTGCTTTTTAAATTTTATTTATTTATTTGTTTTTCCCACAAAGCCCCAGTGGATAGTTGTATGTCATAGCTGCACATCCTTCTAGTTGCTGTATGTGGGACGCAGCCTCAGCATGGCCAGAGAAGTGGTGCATCGGTGCGCGCCCGGGATCCGAACCCAGGCCGCCAGCAGCGGAGCATGCGCACCTAACCACTAACCCACGGGGCCAGCCTGCAACTTGCTTTTTTAACTTAAAAAATACCTTGGACAGGGCCAGCCCAGGTGGCGTAGTGGTTAAGTTCACACACTCCACTTCAGCATCCCGGAGTTCATGAGTTTGGATCCTGGGGGCAGACCTATGCGCCACTCATCAAGCCATGCTGTGGCAGCGTCCCACATATAAAATAGAGGAAGATGGGCACAGATATTATTAGCTCAGGGCTAATCTTCCCCAGCAAAAAGAGGAGGATTGGCAACAGATGTCAGCTCAGGGCCAATCTTCCTCACCAAAAAAAAAAATACTTGGACAGTTAGTAATACAAATCTACCTCATTCTTTTTAGCATTGCACGGTATTTCAAAGTAGAGACGTACTGTCATTTATTTAACCAGATCTCTTTTGGTGGACATTTAGGTTACTTCTTATTGCTATTATAAGCAGCCTTGCAGCAGGCATCCTTATATATATCTTAGTGAAATCATTTGGTATAAGCATTAAATATTTTGATAGATTGTACCCTGATTGGCTGTCAAAAATTTGTACCTATTTACATTTCCATCAAAAATAGGTGAGCATTCGGCCATATATCTTGGACTTGGTTGGCAAAGTTACTTGGTATATGAAGATATTTCAGTTGGGTAGAATTCAGATTCAACCCATTTCCTAGTAAATTTCACAGAGCAGACCTGCATCTGAGGTTTGCTGGATTTAAGAGATTTGAGATGTAGCCCTGACATGGGTGGATGGGCCATTTGATGGTAGGCAAGTCTCACAGCTGATCAGTGTCTTAGTTTCCATCTCCGTGAAAGTGGATGATCATTTTGCCCTGTGCTTCCTGTGGGGATGATGGGAGGATAAATGAGGTTATTTGGGTAAGGTGTTTTATAACTCTTTTACCAAAGAATTTATGCATTGGCTTTCTTTAAAAGAAGAGTGTTATATAAGTTGATTGTTACTTATATCCTTAGGTGTACAGAGACGAAAGAAGTAGCTTTTCCTCCTTTGACTTCTTGGCAGAAGATGCCTCCACTTTAATAGTAGGACACTGGGATGGAAGTTTGTCATTGGTGGATAAACGGACACCTGGAACTTCTTATGAGAAACTTATCAGTTCTTCTTTGAGAAAAATAAGAACTGTTCATGTCCATCCAGTGCATAGACAGTATTTCATCACTGCAGGATTGAGGTATGTTCCTCATAAAATTTCATGATTTTTGCCTTTTAATGTTAGAAATAATGTTTTAGTTTGGTTACGAAAGACTTTGTGAATACCCACAGGCCAAATAATTTTCCTTTCTATACCAACTGAAGGTTTTTTTTTTAGTGTGATTTTTTTTAAATGAGAGATTCTTTTGGATTTAATAACAAGTGAAAGTATTGAAACAAATACAGATTTTTGTTTTCCTTGGTATCATATGCATTTACTTCTAGTCTTTTGAGAAAGCTTGTAAAAAAAAATTATATGTGACCTATGACTTGTGGTCTGTGTTAACTTTTTTCTTGGAGAGATGAGAAAACCAACTAGAATCTTGTCTCTTTGCACCCACTGGTTACATATATATGCTATGGTTTTGAAATTTTTCTAATTTTTTTTATCTATACCAATGTTTATAAAATTAATACAGAAGATTAGAGGGTTCTATCTTAACTTTTCTTCAATGTAATGAGTATTTGAATGTCTAATTTATGTTCAGCCTATTCTAGAGGCTTACTACATGGACTATGGCAACACTGAGAATTATTCCTCCCATTACAGGGATATTCATATTTATGATGCAAGGCGCCTGACTCCCAGAGGAAACCAGCCTTTGATTTCTTTGACTGAACACACAAAGAGCATCGCTTCTGCCTATTTTTCACCTCTTACTGGCAACAGAGTAGTGACCACATGTGCTGATTGTAAGCTGAGGTAAATTGGGAAGACAGATATGTTGTTAAGGAATCTCAAGAGTTTGTAGTTACTGTGTCAGTAAACCAGTAGCTTTGTTTACTGTTTTTCCTTATTAAATTGCTAGTGTTATTGTTTTGTAGCCACATCTAGGTTCCCGAGATCAATGGCTTGTACTTAATGACTTTTCAGCAGTTTTGGGGTCTCGAAATTTCCTTGAGATTGACAAAGAAGCTTTGTAGCTACCCTGGGGAGTCGATGTCAGGCTTCCCTTTCAGCACTGGATCATCCCAGAAATCCCGATGAAACCAGGCTTAGGATATCTTGGAAGGGAGATAATTTTAATTTAGGGAGAAGCTCTGACTTTGGGGATAGTAGGGTTTACTCCATGAGTGAGGTGCTGAATGAAAGTTGCAGAGCCCCAGGCCCTGAGCAGGCAGAAAAGATAGCAAAAACTGGGCTTCTGTACAAACTACTGGATATAGTTTTATGGTTTTAGCTTTGGTACCTTTCTATAGCTACTTCCTAAAAATGGATTTAAAAATGTAATGTAAACCAGTTGGACCAAAAATAGAAAATAATGCCAACAAAAAAAGATGTGGAGAATGTTAAATGCAACCACAAAGGACAATGATTTTATTCTCTTCTAGAACTGATTTTGTTTAACATTGCAAACATTTCTCAATTTATGAGAGTTTTACCTTAAGTGATTTTGGAATTCATTCATTATTCATTCAACAAGTATCTGTTGAATGTATACTGTGGGCCAGGCTCTAGAAAGGCACCTAATTTCTGTTTAGACCCATCTGTTGGGAAGAGCATGGTCTGCAATGTGTGTCAGGTGCTCAATTAGTTTCTAGTAAAGTCTGTGAGCATTACCACATGGTGCATTAAGAGATTTAGATACCAGGCAATGGCAGTCCAGTGTCCTCTTTCCACTCACACAGTTTCCTTTGTCTCAAGAGCTACCTATTTGTCCCATTCCTGTTTATTTGTACTGCAGAGTTCACTCTTGTTACATTAGCTGTTAGTGATTTGGCTTTCTAGTAATCTAATTAGACAATAAGCTCTAGTGCCACGAAACTGCACTGGAATAGCTAGGCACAAGGAGAATGGGGAGGTGGTGGTGACGTGGTTAGTTTCTTTCTGCCTGGGTAGCTGGTGGAGGCTTCTGGATTTCTCCAGCTGCCCCACAAGAACTCCTCCCCATGCTGGCCTGTCTTAGTCTCGCCAGCACCAGGAAATGACACTATCAGACCCTCAACTGGTGAGTCTCATGGGGAAATTGCTCAGGATACATGCATGCACTTTTAGGTTATTTGTGCATTTTCAGACCACATTCCTTCTATATTACGTATATGACTGTGAATCTGAATAGTTTTGGAGTCCAGGTTCTCACTTTAGAATGTACATTTTAAGTTTGGAGTAATAGTGTTTAAATAAATTATTTCCACGCTAAACCATATAAACACTGAATTTTATAATATTCCTTGTAACTTTTATTGAATATGTTAGCTGAGGTTTGTTAGAACCTGATCCTATATATTTTAAAATAATAATATTTTATATCATGAACCAATGAAAAGCTTGTTAAATACACTGATGTTATTTCAGAAAATTTTCAAGAAACAATAAAAAGAGTGTGTTACTTTATTCTTGATCTTTATTTTGCAGAATCTTTGACACCAGCCGTATATCCTCTCAGATTCCTCTCCTCACCACCATCAGGTACGTTTCCATATGCCAAATAGTGTAGACTCTGGATTACTATGAGCTATTTGTTGGAGTGCATGCAGTAGACATCTGATTGTCAGAGAGATGTAATAGGCATGATTTTTATTATGTTGTTTAAGTGTCTCAGGTTGCTAGTTCCTATCCTATCCAGAAGGGTTCTTGCTTTCAGGTTCCCTGTGTCTGTGAAGAGGTTCAGTCTCTTTTAGTTGGTAGCTATTCTCTGCAGCTGGGTGGTTATTATTTTTTTTTTTGTGAGGAAGATCAGCCCTGAGCTAACATCCATGCCAATCCTCCTCTTTTTGCTGAGGAAGACCGGCCCTGAGCTAACATCTATTGCCAATCCTCCTCCTTTTTTTCCCCAAAGCCCCAATAGATAGTTGTATGTCATAGTTGCACATCCTTCTAGTTGCTGTATGTGGGACGCTGCCTCAGCATGGCCCAACAAGCACTGTGTCGGTGTGCCCCCGGGATCCGAACCCCAGGCCACTAGTAGTGGAGCGCGCGCAGTTAACTGCTAAGCCACGGGGCCGGCCCCTGGGCGCTTATTTTTGGTTAAGGAGAATGACTTCATTCCGACCTGAATTACTCATGTTATCTTATTAACAAAGACTATAACTACTCACCTGCCGATGAGGCTAGCTGGAGCTCTGTTTATTGGTGCCTGTTTCTTCTGGGATTAGAGGGCTTCCCCACCTTCTCACTTACTATATTTCTTTGGTTATCCTCTTTTTGCATCTGCTACTTTAATGTATGTATTCTACATCAGACTTTACTCAATGCCTTCTTCCTAGACGTCCCTCTTTATTAATATTTATGAAGCTGGGGACAGGGTGTACAGTATGTTGATTATTGTTACTTCATGAGTTTTGTAGTCTATAGAGGTTATGTTTAAGTATGTTCATTTCCTTTTTCACAAATTTTCCCCTCTTCATTTCCTTTTTCAAACTTTATTAATTCTAGTTTATTGGTTTCTAATGTGTATTTTTTAAAAAAATTAGGGTGATGATTCTGGAATCAGTAAGAATTTTCATTAAAAATAGGATCATTGAGTGGCAGTGGGAAATGTGGTTCTCTGTATTCCATACTACTTTAATAAGAGAGGATTGTTAATGGTATTAAGGTATAGAGAATAAAAGGGCAGTACTTTTCTTTTTACTTTGGAGAGCTGTAAAGAGCCCCAAATGTATTTTTTTTTTTTCGTGAGGAAGATCAGCCCTGAGCTAAGATCTGTGCTAATCCTCCTCTTTTTGCTGAGGAAGACTGGCTCTGAGCTAACATCTATTGCCAATCCTCCTCTTTTTTTTTCCCCCAAAGCCCCAGCAGATAGTTGTATGTCATAGTTGCACATCCTTCCAGTTGCTGCATGTGGGATGCGACCCTAGCATGGCGGGAGAAGCGGTGCGTTGGTGCGCGCCCGGGATCCGAACCCGGGCCGCCAGCAGCGGAGTGTGGACACTTAACCGCTAAGCCACGGGGCCGGCCCCCCAAATGTATTTTTAAAAACTTTTATTTTATTTTTAGTTGTGGTTATAAACACATAACATTAAATTCACCATCTTAGCCATTTTTAAGTGTACAGTTCAATAGTGTTAGGTATATTCACATTGTTGTGCAACAGGTTTCTAGAACTTTTTCATCTTGCAGGACTGAAACTCTATGTCCATTAAACATTAATTCCTCCTTCGCCCTTTCCCCAGACCTTGGCAACCATCTTTCTACTTTCCATTTCTATGATTTTGACTACTTCAGATACATCATATGAGTGTATCATACAGTATTTGTCATTTTGTGACTGCCTTATTTCACTTAGTGTAATGTCCTCAATGTTCATCCATAATCTAGCAATGTTCATCCAAAATCTCCCTTTTTTAAGGCTGCATAATATTCAATTATATGTATATACTACATTTTCTTTATCCATTCATCTGTTGATGGACATTTGGATTGTTTCTACCTCTTGGCTATTGTATTGAATAATGCTTCAGTGAATATGGGTGTGCAAATATCTCTTTAAGATCCTGCTTTGAATTCTTTTGGTTAAATACTCAGAAGGAGGATTTTGATGGATCATATGGTAATTCTATTTTTAATTTTTTGAGGAACCTCCATACTGTTTTTCCATAGCAGCTGCACTATTTTACATTCCCACCAACAGTGCACCAGGGTTCTAATTTTTCTGTATATTCATCAACACTTGTTTTCTCTTCTTTTGTTAGTGATTATCCTGAGTGTGAAGTAATATCTCATTGTGGTTTTGATTTTCATTTCTCTAATGATTAGTGATGTTGAACATCTTTTCATGTGCTTGTTGGCCATTCTTTTTTTAGGTCGTTTTGGCTATTCATGGTCCCGTAAGCTTCCATGTCAATTCTAGGATTTTTCCCTATTTGTGTAAAAAATGCCATTGGGATTTTGAGAGGAATTGCATTGAATCTCTAGATCACTTTGGGTCCTATGGATATTTTAACAATATTAAGTCTTCCAATCCATGAACACGATGTCTTTCCATTTATTTGTATGTTCTTTGATTTGTTTTAGTAACGTTTTATAGTAGCTTTCATCTCCTTGGTTAAATTTATCTTGGTTAATTTATCTTGGTTAAATTTTATTCTTTTTGAGTCTATTGTAAATGGGATTGTTCATTTCCTTTCTGAATTAGTCATTGTTAGTGTGTAGAAATGCAACTATTTTTGGGTGTTGATTTTTGTATCCTCCAACTTTGCTGAAATCATTTTAGTTTTAACAGTTTTTTGTGTGTGTGTGGAATCTTTAGGATTTTTTACATACAAGATCATGTCATGCAAACAGATAATTTTACTTCTTCCTTTCTAATTTGGATGCCTTTCATTTCTTTTTCTTCTCTAATTGACTAATTGCTAGTGACTGCTCAGAATGTGTCCCCCTTATCAAATGTTAGTTGGTTTAATGGTGATGCCTCATGTGCAGGATCTGGTTACCTGTGCAGTTGTGAACATCTGGAAGTAAGGCAGATCAGTATCTCTAGTCCTACCCAGTTTTCTAGTCCTATCAGATTTCCAGTACTATGTTGAATAGAATTGGCCAGAGTGGACATCCTTGCCTTTTTTCTGATCTTAGAGGAAAAGCTTTCAGTCTTTCACTGTTGAGTATGATGTTACCTCTGAGCTTTTCACATATGGCCTTTATTACGTTGAGATAGTTTCCTTCTATTTCTAGTTCATTGAATGTTTTTTTAATCATGAAAGGGTATTGAATTTTGTCAAATGATTTTTCTGCATCACTTGAGTTGATCACATTTCATTCTGTTAATGTGGTATACTACATGAATTGAGTTTTGTATGTTGAACCATCTTTGCATTCCAGGTCTAATTCCAACTTGGTCATGGTGTATAATTCTTTTAATGTGCTGTTGAATTTGGTTTGGTAGTAGTTTGTTGAGGATTTTTGCATCAATATTCATCAGGGGTATTAGTCTGTAGTTTTCTTTTCTTTTCTTTTTTTGGTGAGGAAGATTGGCCCTGAGCTAACATCTGTGCCAGTCTTCCTCTGTTTTGTATGTGGGAGGCCGCCACAGTGTGGCTTGATGAGCAGTGTGTAGGTCCGTGCCCAGGACCGAACCCGTGAACCCTGGGTTGCTGAAGCAGAGCTCGTGAACTTAACCACTACACTACCAGGCTGGCCCCATGTAGTTTTCTTTTCTTATAGGGTCCTTGTCTAGCTTTGGGATCAGGGTAGTTTTGGCCTCATAGAATGAGTTTGGAAGTGTTCCTCTTCAATTCTTTGGAAGAGTTTGAGGAGCATTGGTGTTAATTCTTCTTTAAATGTTTGGTAGAATTCTCCAGTGAAGCCATCTGGTCTTGGGCTTTTTCTTTGTTTGGGAGGTTTTTGGTTACTGTTTTAATCCCTTTACTAGTTATAGGTCTATTTAGATTTTCTATTTCTTTATGAGTCAGTCTTGGTAAGTTGTATGTTTCTGGAAATTTATCCATTTCTACTTAGGTTATCCAATTTGTTGGCATATTATTGTTCATGGTATTCTCTTATGATCCTTTTTATTTCTGTGACATCAGTTGTAATATCCCCACTTTCATTTCTGATTTTAATTATTTGCATTTTCTCTTAATCTAGCTAAGGGCTTGTCAATTTGTTTATCTTTTCAAAAACCTAACTCTTTATTTTTTTCTATTGTTTTTCTGTCCTCTCTTTCATTTATCTCTGCTCTAATCTTTATTATTTCCTTCCTTCTGCTAACTTTTGGTTTAGTTTTTTCTTCTTTTTCTAGTTCCTTGAGGTAGTTAGGTTGTTGATTTTGAGATCTTGCTTCTTTTTTAATGTGTTTCTGCTATAAATTTCCTTCTTAGTATTGCTTTTATAGCATCCCATTGATTCTGGTATGTTGTGTTTTTGTTGTCATTTGTCTGCAGGTATTTTCTAATTTCCCTCTGAGCCCAACATGTATATTTACTTTAAAGTTGTATGGAATATAAAATGATTTCAGGGTTTGGTTATCAGGGGAATGCAAATATGGAAAATAGATCATGTTAAAACAGCAATAACCTAGATTATTTCTTATATATAGTGCTTCTTGTATTTGTATGTGCTAAAAAAAAAAAAGGAGAGGAGTCCATTGAGCTAGGAAATAGTGAACAAAAAAAGTGCTGTTTCAGTAGACACTTAATGACCACTGAGCACAAACCACTGTACTCACTGGAGATTCAAAAATGCAGATGTCATCTCTGTTCTGAGTTTCAGTCTTGTAGGAAGGATGAGATTAGGTTGATGGTAACTCAGAAACTTAATGAGAAGAAACTTGGCAGAGAAAATCTGCATTTAGGAGCAGCGCCATCTTTACCCTCTGCCCATTGCTACCTTGAGTTATTTCAAACTTACTATCCTTTAAAAAAATTATTTTTTCACTAGGCACAACACCATCACTGGGCGATGGCTGACCAGGTTCCGAGCTGTGTGGGACCCTAAACAAGAAGACTGTGTCATAGTTGGCAGCATGGCCCATCCACGACGAGTGGAAATCTTCCATGAGACAGGAAAGCAGGTGCATTCTTTTCTTGGTGGAGAATGCCTTGCCTCTGTGTGTTCCATTAATGCTATGCACCCAAGTCAGTATGTTTTGGCTGGAGGTAATTCCAGTGGGAAGATACATGTTTTTATGAATTAAGAAAGTTGTTGAGTTAAAAGTTTAGCAACATCAATTTGTTCAAATTAATCAGTGTCTAAGGAGCCTAGTAATTTGTGTGGCTTAGTCTGTTTACTTGGTAATATGTTCTATTTAGCAAATATAAAATTGCTTTATTAATAAGAACTATGAGCAGAATGTACTTTGAGTAAGGGAGAAGGCTTGGAGGTTGTTTCTGCAGGATGGGGAGGGAATTTAAGGGGAGACTGTGATGCCTTCAGCACTTTTAATCTGGCAATATGTTGAGAAATTATAACATAAATTATAAAGCTTTGAATTCTCAGTATTAAAAGTTTTGTGGTCCTGTGATATGGTTGTGATTCTATAGTGATATAAAGATTTGTAGTTTATTTTATAGTTTGGAGTGAATATTTATTTCTAGACTCACACTGGAAGGGGTCCTGAAAGGTCCTCTAACTCATTGATTTTGTAACTTTTTATTTTTTTAACCAAGAACTGTTTTTTCCCCCTGCCTCTCCATTAAATCTTATGTGAAATCTCAAGATAATTGCTGAGAAGCTTTGGTTCACTTGGGCAGGGCCTGGGTCTGTGTGTGCTGACCCTTTCCTTTCCCCCTCCTCCGGATGGTTCCTGAGACACAGCCCAGGAATCCCAGGGCTCCTAGGCACAGGGTTTGGATCTACTGGATCCCTGAAATCCAGTGTGAGATTGCCTCAGGCCAGTGTTTTCCAGACTATGGGTTGTAGCTATTCACACAAAATCAGTTCAGTGGCCCTGACCAGCATTTAAAAAGATGAAAAGGAAAGCAATAGTAAAGAATAGAAAACATACTTAAAATAAGTGTTGTTTTGTGAAACTTAGTTATGTATGCATACATATTTGTAGGTATATATGACTATGTATATTCTGATGTAAAATGTATTTCTTTATTTCTGTGGTACTGTGGGTCATGGTTAAAGAAGTGAAAGTTTCTGCCTTAGAAGGTCCCAGACAGTCTTATCTGTCCTTGTGTTTAAACTCTCCAGAGGAGATTCAATAGCCTGTTAAGTGAATAGCTTTATTCCTGTTCATATTTAGGAGAAATGTTATGAAATAGCACTTCTGGCATTTCTTCATAAAAATATTTTTTTTCAGAAGTTATAGCAAAATTTGAATGTATCTGTTGGAAGGGGAGCTACTAAATCAGTGACTAATGTTACCATGTGACATTACCTATCCAACTTTTTTCATTGTTCTTCATTGCCAAACTACTACAGAAAGACTATTGTAAATAGCTTCAGCAATATGTTTGAATTCTAAGAGGAAATATTATCTTCTCATAATTGTATATCACAGAAATAAAGTGACATTTATAATTTCCTTGAAGAATAATTTTTTTCCTATATGATTTCCTTCTCTGTAATTATAAGCTAAGTTTTTGAGGCTTAGTTTGTTAATAGGTTGTGGATATTCATAAGAAATAGGAGTTCTCTATTTTCTTGGTGATATGAGTACAAGAATTGATAAGCAAGATGAAAAAAGAGGGATACTCATTTTATTGTGCTTTGATTTATTGCACTTCACAGATATTGTGTTTTTTTTACAAGACCCTTCACCAGCAAAAAGATTACTACTCACTGAAGGCTCAAATGATGGTTAGCATTTTTTAGTAATGATGTATTTTTTAATTAAGGTATGTACATTGTTTTTTTTAGACATGATATTGTATTCTTAATAGTATAGTGTAGACATAACTTTTATATGCACTGGGAAACCAAAAAATTCATGTGACTTGCTTTATTGCGATATTTGCTTTATTACAGTGATCTGGAACCAAACCCACTATATCTCTGGGATATGCCTATATTAATTTATGAAATGGAAAGTAAAGCTAAGTAAAGTTGAGTTATATTTAAACTGTCCTGGAAATAGTAAAGAAAGCCTTTAGGCTCCCTTTCTCTTCTATACCACTTAATTTCACAGGTTCTGGAGTGGCTAGTTCTATGGCAGTTATTCTTTCTGTAAGATGTTGAAAACTACTCTTAATCAAATTAGTACCATCATTTAAGCTTTGAATACTTGGTGGTAATTGCCTGGCTTCTGCAATAAATGTTAGCAAATTCTTGATGTTTCTCACTTTTGTGATTTATTTTGCTATTGTAGCTTCATAAACTGTGCTATTTATATCTAATAACGAAGTTTTATCTTCTTGAGGCAACGCAGGAAGGAAGCAAGGAGAGTAAGTGAGGACTTGTTTCTTGGTGATAAGCTCTATAATGGAGTAATTGTTTAAATCTAGAAAGCACATAAAGGAAAATTGTCTCCCTTAGGACATCCTTAAACTGTAATCTGTTGTGAAAGGTACTTCTCCCAGAGTCTCCCTAAAGCTGTATGGCTTCTGTAATTGTGGGTGTATTATGATTGCTCTCTCCCTTCAGGATAAACCGTTTTTCCAAGTTGGCCTTTAGGATATCTCTTTTTTTTTTTGAGATCAGCCCTGTGCTAACATCAGCCAATCCTCCTCTTTTTTTGCTGAGGAAGACTGGCCCTGGGCTAACATCCGCGCCCATCTTCCTCCACTGTATATGGGACGCCGCCACAGCATGGCTTGCTAAGTGGTGTGTCGGGATCCGAACTGGTGAACCTCGGGCCGCTGCAGCAGAGTGCGCGCACTTAACTGCTTGTGCCACCAGGCCGGCCCCTAGGATAGCTCGTAAACCGTAAGCTCTGAATTCCACTTGAGTTTTTTTCTTTGAGATGCTCGGCGTTTTTTTTTTTTTTTTAATTTATTTTTATTTATTTATTTTTCCCCCAAAGCCCCAGTAGATAGTTGTATGTCATAGCTGCACATCCTTCTAGTTGCTGTATGTGGGACGCGGCCTCAGCATGGCCGGAGCAGCAGTGCGTCAGTGCCCGCCCGGGATCTGAACCTGGGCCGCCAGTAGCCGAGCGCACGCACTTAACCGCTAAGCCACGGGGCTGGCCCTGCTCGGCCTTTTTTATGTGACTTTAAGGAGGAAGGAGATGATTTTCGTTTTGGGTGGACGGAGACTTGGTCAGACTAGGAGAGACTGCAAATGATTAGGAATTGATAGAATCTGAGTTGCTTATGTCATATTTTAGTATTCTGGCCTCTGAGTTTCCTTTCCACAGAGAAGACTTTGCAAAGGCAGTTCTTCAGGAAAGTAGGGAGCTTTAGGGCTGCTGATACAAAGATTTAAATCCTTTCAGGCAGTGTGCAGTACATGGGAAGGGGAGGAGGGCAGACACATGTGCCTTCTATATCAAACCTGAGAGGAAGAAGTATGTACCCTCTAACTTCAGGTTCCCAAAACTGAGGTGTCCTATTTGTTAGGCTGTCCCTTCTTAGTACATTTTTTTTTTGTTTTTTTGCTTTTTAGTATGGTATTGATGGCTAGTAATGGGTTTTAGTTCCAAGACAGCATAGACTCATATCCTGGTTTATTTGGCTGTAAATGTTTGGATTTTCAAATGAAAACGTGGAATTTTGTGAGGAAGACAACATTTGGCACGGTTACACAGAGTGAGGAGTAAAATATTTTAAGGTACCTTTTCCTAAAATGGAAGTTGTGCAAGAGGAGATGTTTTAAAAGTATTTTTTGCCTGTTTTACTCCTCCATCAAGTTGTAGGGGTTCGTAGAGAAAGCCTGTTCCTGACCTAAAACCAGAAGTGTATTCAGGTGCAGAGATGCTTGGTTATGGCTGAGGAACTCTAAGCAGAGGAAGTGGGTGCTAGAGCCCTGAAAGGGTGTGTGCATAGCTGAGTCCTCATTAGGTATCCAAAGAAGGGCAGCTGCTATAAATCTGTAGGATCATGGGAAACACTCACATCCAGTGGTTCTCATGCTTTTTACCCTTCAGATCACCTTTTTTTTGGTGTATGAGAAAGATTGGCCCTGAGCTAACATCTGTGCTCATCCTCCTCTATTTTGTATGTGGGATGCTGCCCCAGCATGGCTTGAGGAGCAGTGTGTAGGTCCATGCCTGGGATCCGAACTCTCGAACCCTGGGCTGCCGAAGTGGAGCATGTGAACTTAACCATTATGCCACTGGGCCAGCTCCTACCCTTCAGATCACTTTAAGCAAAGACTTTTGTCATTAAAAAAAAAAAAACTCCACTGGGGACGGCACTGGATATCATTTTATAGGAAATAGGAACCTCTGAAAATTTGGAGGTGAGTGACATAACCTGATCAGTACTTTAGTAAGATGATCTGGCAGCAGAATGGATTGGAGGGCAGGTGGAATTGAAAACAGGAAGTTCAGATAATAAGCAGCACAGCAGACCCTAGTTTCACCTTTTATCCTCATGGAATTTAGAAGACCATTACCAGTTCCACAGCCACAGACTGATGGTTACATAATAAGATGATAATGTAATAGGAATGTATTTTGTAAGTAAGTTGTAAATATGAGGTTACTGTAGTGGTGATAGTCTGTTCCCTTCATAGGAAGTGTTTCTGTTCTCCCTCTTATTCCAGGCTTGAGTAAGAACACTGCTCTAGACGCTGGACCATCTAGGGTCTACTTTGACTAAGACTCTAAGACTGACTAACTGTAACCTTGGGAAAAATCACTTCCCAGTTTGCCTCATCAGAAAAACGGGGTCCAAGTCATCTCTAAAATTACTCCACCCTGACAGCTTCTAAGTTCTTAATAGTATTTATTTTGGGGGGATGGACATAAGCAAAATGATTCTAGTTGCAAACAGCAGTCAGCTGTGTAAATCTCACTGGTATCCTTTTATCTATGTGTTGCTAACTTTGAGGAGAAACTAAGGCTGTAAGTTAAAAAAGAAAAGAGGCCACTCTCGTATGATATTTAAATATTTATTTAAGTTTAAAAATAATTTTCATGGCACCAATGATTTTATGCTAACTACATACTGCATATGTAGAAAAAAGTACATTGCTTTGAAGGAAAATGTAACTTAGAATTTTTGGCACACAAAAAGTTAAGTATTTTTTAATGAAGCTAAGAAATTCACATTTGCAGGTAGTTTACCCTCTACTGCTTAAAGATGCAGTGTACTATTCTTTAGTAGGAGTTTTATTTCCTGATAGATGAAGCTGTGGAAACCACTGCTTTTTCTACAATGAGATCAAACTAATCTTGAGAGAAAATGGGAGACATGGTGGAACACAGTAAAATCAGGTTAAAAACGTGAACAATTTTTAATGATGAGGGAGATACCAAAAAAGACTAGTCACCAAAAAAGGAGGTTTGTTATTCAAGCACTATTTGAAAAGCAAATTGAAGGAAACTTTTCTATCTGTATTTTCTGGGATAAGCTCTCGAAAAAAAATAACCCGAAAGTTTCTGTTCAGAGAGCAAAATCCAGCTATTGGAAGTGGTATGGACTATTGTACTGTTAGAACTCTAGACACAAGTAACGTACCAGGAAATGGAATACTACGTCTTGCTTTAATGTGAATATGAAAGGTCAGTCGAGGCTATCACTCACTGCATAGAAACACTGTTATTCTACAGACTGAGGTAGGAACACTACGCTAAAAGGTAATCTGCTATGTTGCATAAGACAATAGATATCCAGGTTAAAACCAGCCCCCCGTCTCCTGACAGCCTTTTCCTCTCTGAGTCTACTTTTCACTTCAGTTCTGTCCTAAATAAAGCCTTTCCTGTGTAGATGACAAGTGGCAGTGGCTAGTTGGGTCTAAGTGATCCCTAATCTTTATTAGGATCTCCCTCAGTTTGTCTTGTCACTTGGTAAATAGCTGTTTGTAGTTCTGCCCAAATTGTTGCTGGTATGGAAATGATCAGACAGGCCCTCTTCCCTTCTTAGATTCTGGCCACATTTTTGCATTCCAGTACTTGATCTTGCTCATCTTGGCATCAGATAGCTCTGCTGGTTGGTTGTTCGAGCACCCTTAAACAAGCAACCCCAGTGCCTCCACTGGGAAATGGTCCTGGGTCTTTAACACGTGTCAGGAATTGGAGCAGAGCCAGCTCCTTCTGCTAACATACTGGTAAGGAGCAGTTTTATTGTGTAGATTGGGGTTGGCAAATGATGGCCTGTGGGCCAAATTCAGCTGTCTGTTTTTATAAAGTCTTGTTGGAACACAGCCATGCTCCTTCATTTAGTATACGTATGGCTGTGTTGTGCTAAAACGGCAGAGTTGAATAGTTGTCACAGAGTATGGCCCACAAAAAATATTTACTAGCTGGCACTTTACAGAAGAAGTTTGCTGACTCCTGGTCTGGATGAAAGGGCATTTAAAATTATGCAACCCCCCCCCCCCCAAAAAAAAAACCATTTATTCCATTCCATGTTAATTCTATACATGGGCATGGTTCTGCCATCTCAGGGGACAAACTAGGGAAAAGCAAATCTATAAGTGACTAATTCTGTTTTGCATTTGGGGCTGCCCAACATCATAGGGTGCCAGCAGCTGCTCCACTGTTGTGTGGGTCTCAGGAATATGTCTACTAACTGTTCTTGAGTAAGTCAGTCCTCAGGCCCCAGATGACTTAGAAATCTCTCCCTGAGATGAAAACAAGATCTTGTGTGTGAGTGGCTGTAAGAGTTGCAGAGCTTGGGCCTCAGACCCCCACACTCACCCTTCACATGCTGTGCTTCTGCATGCTTCCACAGCTTCCCTCAGCAAGGATGGCAAGTGCTTTCCTACAACTTATATTTTCCTGATGCAGAGGATGACCCTAGGGGGCAGTATTTCTACATCTAAGTTTTGGACTTTGCCACATTCACTTTGTTTTGTAGGCATCGCTTAGAACTCCTATTTAAAGAGATTCTTTTCCTGGTCCCTTCCAAGGCTGTTTGTTGATCTTGGAATTTTATTTTCTGAAGCTTTTCAGTCTCAGGATCAGTTTCTTTCTTGCATCATTTAGTTCATCAGGCTCTATTTTCTTAATCCATAAAGTAAAAACAAAATATGAATTGATAAGAAAATAACATTTTGTTGTTAAAATATAAATTGAAATAGTCTTTTTAGGGAGGAAGGTGTACAAAATAAGTACTGTTCTCTGAATCTCAACAGTCTCTCAGGTACCTTAGCTCTGGTTTCTGTTAACTACCCTTTGTCCAGCATTTCTGACAGTCCTATCTCTGGCATCACTGAATTCATCTAACGCCTCTGGAGCACTATAAAAGTCTTGAGGTTCTTCAGAAAAAAATCACAGAAGTCTAAGTTCATTATACAAAACTCGGTGATGCCCACTAGGATCTAGTCTAAGGGGACAGACTTACCCTACCCCTGCTGCTGCTGCTTGCTGTAGCGATGGTCCCTTCAGATGCCCACTCTGCTCAGAGTTGAAAAAAACAAAAGCAAAAGAAAATCCAACTCAGACCATCATAAGAAGCAACGCTCCATTTAATCATTCTACATGGATGTTTACTTTTTTAAAAGCTCTGTCTGGCAAAAAAACCTAGATATTCCCTATTATGCAGACCCCTGGCCTGTCCCATGAGGCTGCAGTGATGAGCCTGCTAGGACCCAGTAGGAAAGCTCCTGCAGAACACAGAAGACAACAGCTCTCTAGTCTTCAACTAGTGTCTCATCTGCTAGGTGACACTACTGTGATAATCAGTAATAGTAAAATAAATAATTTTTATTTGATACTTTCAAAATAATACACATCTATGAAAAATCAAAATTCAAAACCAAAAATTATCCTGCAAATTGGGAGGATGAGAAACAGAGTCACCAAGCCTTTCTCGAAAGAACCACTGAAGGAAATGAGTTTTCCCAGTTTGTTTAGAGAGGGCATGAGCCTATCCCTTTCTTCTGGGAAACGACCCTCCTAGGCTGTGGACTTTGAGTCATGAGAGGAGGACTTGGTACATGTGCCGATGGTTCCGCAATGGGTCCCATTGCTGGGAATGGGTAGCCGGGCTCCTTGGTCCACCTGGCTAGTTATTGGGAGGAGTCATGCCTTCTCAGGTGTCAATGAGCAGGCTCACCACTGAGCGGATTTTGCAGGCAAACCATCGCCTGAGGGGACAAAAGTATTGATAGTGGAATTGTTCAAACTCGGGGGTCTGGCGGATATCGCGGAAAAAGGCAATGTCAAGGTCAGACTCGGTAAGGATGATCAGGAGAAGGAGCAAAACAAAGAGGAGTCCCATGGTCACAAGAAGCAAACGGAGGACACTTAAAACAAACTTATTCACCTGTTCCTCCTCTGGCCTGCTGTGTCCCTGACACAGGGCCCTCAGCTCTCCCCCAAGGGCTTCCACCTCTGCAGCAGTTGGAGTGCTGGCCTCAGACTCCTTCTCCTCCTCGATGCTGCAGGTGGCTCCATTGATCTGCCGGGAAAGCAGCATCAACTCCAGGCTGTGCTCGGCCACGGGGGTGGGCAGCACGCTGTCTGCAGGGCTGTAAGCCTCGTCTGCAATCACGGCGACTCGCTCATTGCTCTCTGCCCGGCTGCTTCTCACGTGAGGCAGGAAGGTGTCCCCATGGGAGGAAGAACGCACCGGGGTGGAATGGGCACTGTCCCGCAGGGACTCTAGGCCTGGAAAGGCAAGAGGAACATGAGTAGGCTTTCTCCGTCCCAGTGCACACTCTACTTCTGGTGGAGGCAGCACCCATTCTGTTTTATTTGGTCACTAAAGTCTTAAGAGGAAGCTCCTCTGCACACTCCATGTGACCAGCAGCAGTGGCTGCTGCATTCTGTTTTAATGTTATCAAGAATAGGACAAGAGAAACAGCAGAAATCAGAGTGGCCATAGTTGGAAGTTGTTGTTTTTTGGGGTTATTTTGTGCTTGTGGTTTTGGCCAGATTTGTTCAAGATTCTACCTTTCCTGCCTTTCCTGTCCTGGGCCTGGTTTTAGCCCCAATTTGAAAGAGAATCTGAATTGCAGACTATCCCTGATCCAGAGCGGAGGCCCCAGTTCAGGGAGCTGAAGTCTGCTCTTGGGCTGAGGGCCTTGAGAGGCAGGAAGGGGGAGGAGGAGACTGTGTTTTGCCTAACTAGGCCTCATCAAATACTGATTCTGGAGCTGAGTGTCCTTCTAACAACCTAGGACACAGCTCCTTGGGCTCATGAGGTCATCTTTTGAATTTCTGCTGTTGCTGTCGGTCTCATCAGCTTCCCAGTTCTAGCTGTCCTGACCTTGTGGGATGTGAAAATCTTGTCTGCTCTTCCTAAGTACTCTCTGATGGAGTAGTAGTAGCTCCTGGCCAGCTCCCTCTCTCTCCACCTTAGAACGAGCTGGGTCCAGAAAAGGCTGACGGCTCCCCTGTCTTTAGACACTCCAGAGTGCAGAGCGGTCTCTGAGAAGATCTTGTTGGGTCGGGGGGAATTCTCTTACATTTGTTAGGAGAAAGGGTCTTCTGGTCCCTAAATGGGTCTTCTGGACCCATTATCTCTACTTTCTCAGATGGAACATTTCTCTTTCCAGGACTCAAGCTCTGGTAGGGAAAAACAGGAGCTGGCTACTCCCTCAACCAGACAGCAGCCACCCAGGCCAGAGGAGGTGAGCTCAGAGTCACCGAGTGTGATTCTCCACATCACAGTGCTCCCAAGAAAATGGCTTCTTGTTTCAGGTTCAACATTTGCATTTTCCACTCCTGGCCATTGTGGTGGTGCCAGAGTGGCTCTCCCAGCTTTTGTGGCCATGACAGAGAAGCCAGTCCCCTTCTGTTGTTCTGAAGTCCACTCTGATTGCCCTAGACTGAACTAGATTCCCAGCTAGGTAAAGGTTTGACCTAACTCGGGCTGATTAGGAAGTTTTCTGGTTCAGGGCTAGCTTCAGAAGCCCAAAAGTCTCTTGTAAAAGGCATCAATAACCTTTCAGAAGTAGTGTGTTGCATCTTCCTGGCTCCCTTATGACATAGCCATTTGCACTCAGGCAGCCTGCCTTCCCAGCCTTCTGGAGTCCATCTCAGCATAGGCACAGTTAAGGAATGAACCCTGGAATCTGGGTTATGAAGAAGTGGCAGGGTGGGGGCGATGGCAGCCCCCTGCTGTCTGCCTATACTTCTCATTACCTCACCATTAGTATATTTGCCACAGCTCTCAGCTTCTGCTTTCAGAAGCTCCTCATGGTCCTAGCTGTATTTTGTTTGTCCCTATGCTAAAATCTTAAAATTTGTATGCTGTGTTAAACTTTTTTTAAATTTTTTTTTGCTGAGGAAGATTAGCCCTGAGCTAACATCTGTGGTAATTTTCCTCTACTTTATATGTGGGTTGCCGCCACAGTGTGGCTGACAAGTGGTGCAGGTCCATGTCCGGGATCTGGACCCGGGCCGCTGAAGTGGAACACACGGAACTCAACCACTACTCCATGGGGCCGACTCCTGATGTGTTAAACTTTTTAAAGCACTTTCATTTTATCTTTCGACAACTCCGTGAAGTAGTGAGGGCGAGAGCTTACAGAACTTGCCTAAAGTCATGTGGTTGGTTGGTAATGGCAAAAGCAAGGATAGAATTCAAGCCTCTTGCTATTTCATGGTGCTGATGATCATGTAGTTGAATTCTGGGGAGTGGAACAAGGGGCCAGGATGAATTAAGTCAACAGCCTGCACCCTGCCTTAAATTTAGGTTCCAATTGCCAAAGATACTGTTGTGAAATAACGTGAAATAAGAGCCTGTGCCTTGTTCCAGAGCTTGTGATGCTCCTTTGATCTCTCTTTTCCCCAGTATTCTTCCCTTATTCCCCCATTTACATGTGCAGCATGAGGAATATGTACGTGGGAGTGTGTAGCAGGTCCCTGAGAAAACAGAAACCTTCAGGCCCTGATCACACAGGTTGCTGGCTCAGCTCCTCTCCCAACCACTCCTCTGGCCCCCTGTTCTCTGGAACCTCAGCCCCCCTGCAAAGGGCACCTCTCACCTTTTCAAGGGGCTTTCCCCTCACAAGGACAGCTCTGACTGCCAGATCTTCCAAAGTATGACCAGTTTAGCTGCCAGAAACTACTTCAGTGCAAGCTTAACTTTGCCTGCAATTCAGCCCTAAGCTTGCTAGGGAAGGAGAGAGGAAAAGGCTGCGACATCAGAGAGAACAAATCAGAGGGACACCAGAAGCCACATTATACTGAGTTGTTGGTGCTCTTAGTAAACAAGATAATGGATATGTATGCATTTCTAGTGGTGTGCCTGACAAAACTACTCAATAAATGTTAGTCTTCTGTTCCCTCAACAGACCTCACCTGTAAGGTCATCATTCCTACGTCAGGTTAGTCCTGTACAGAACTTCAGGTTTCACTAGAAACCACCACCCACCTCACCCCTTCATTAAACCTGTTATTCTGGGATGGATGGGGTGGGTGCTGTGGTGGGATCTGGGTGAGGGGGACAGCAAAACAGAGGAGTGTCTTTTTTTACCTTGGGGTTGCTCCAGCTGATTGCCTTGCCCAGAGGTGGCTCCCAGTGGGCCGGGGTGCACAGTGGTCAGGAGCCTACCCTGGAGCCGGGGCCCCAGCCTCAGGATACGCACACTCAGGGGCCGAAGGCAGTGATTAGTCAACCGTAGCTGAACGCGGACTCGGGTGTGGATCTTAATCAGACTCTTCCCCATCGTGGCCCAGGAAGGCAGATACTTCTTCAGTGGAAATCAGCTGATCTCTTCATGGAAACCAGCCGGGTAGGGGAGATACAGAAGGAAAGGACGGAAGACCAACTCGGGACAAGGGATTTTCGCTGATCTCACGCCATGGCAGCCCATCTGCAGCGCCTCCTATGCTGCAGAGAAAAAGTCGGCTCCGCGAGCCTCAGAGCAGGCAGAGCTGCTGAGAAGGAGCCGCTCTGAGAGGCTGACGTTATCAGGAGACTGGATTGATTCAGAAGCACTTAGAGCCATAAAAAGTAATGCTTCCCCAGCCTGTAGCTGTCTCCCTGAGGCCCGTATAAGGGCCCCAGACCTCTCAGAGGGTGAGGGACAGAGAGGGCAGGGAACAATCCCAGAGAATCGGGGAAATCAGGACTGTCCCCAAAAATCCAGGATGTGCAGCTACAAAGACACTGGGCTGTGGGCTGGGTGGCTCCGAAGTTTGAGGAGGTTGCTCTGGAGCTGGAAATGGGCTGTGTCCCAACCTCCACCGGGCTCTACACTATTTGGCCCCCTGCTGCTGAGTGGTGCCCCACAGGGCACAATGGGTGAAGGGAACTGACATACCTGAGCGTCCTCTCTGGGTCATGCCTGTGCTAATAACACGTTATCTTGGCATCCCTGAGAGCAGAGGACAGGGCCAACCAATGCACAGTCATCTTTTTAAGGGTCCGAGTTCATTGGGATTACATGGTTTCATTCAAACTGTAATGTTATGTTAATGTTTTTGCAATTCTTCCCGTTGTTTTAGGAGATAGCAAACAAAGCTTTCCCCCTGGAAAAGGCAAATGGTTTCTATGATACTAATTTATAGGTGATATGGACTATAGGAAAGACAGTCTCTGATGGAGCATGAATCAATTTCAAATGTCCATAAATTCCTGCGAGTTTTGGTGGTTTGTGCCTTTCTTCTGAGGCCACCATCACATCCCCCTCAGCCCTTCTCTGTTTGGTTGAGACGGACAGTGAGGATCAGCTGTATTAGGTGCTTTAAAGGCAAAACCCCATCTCTCAAGATGGTGCAGCTGAACTCTCACCTCCTGAAATAATCCATTCTTTATTTCCCCAGCTTGATAATCCCTACACTGATAGAGCCACTTAACTGCTAAAGTCTTTTATTTTTTCCACATCTGAACCACAAGTCCATCTACCTCTCCTCACCCTGAGCCTGTGAGTTTCATTCCTGCTGGGGCAGTTCTTAGCTTCTTCTACCTATGCCCTCCTGAGTCTAATGGGTCCTGGGCTGAGGGCCATGACTGGGGATGAAGGCTGTGCTTGTCTGCAGGCAGCCTTGGGCATGGAATGTGAGGAGTAGGTTGGCTTGGGGAGTAGCATGTGGGAGCCTGCTATGGTATAATGTGCCAAGTGTGAAGTTCTGTGAGGCTGAGACTTTGAGCACATGCCCTGGCCCTAGGAGTCTGTACTCAAATGGCTTCCTCAGCAGCCTCTCCCCACTGCACCCTCCCCTGGCATTTTGCAAGCAAGGGTGACTATTTTGGATGTTGAGGAGCCTACTGCTGGTGCATTGAGAGAAGATAGGTTCTGGGAGGAGGCTGGAGGCAGAGCCAAGCGGGTTGGTAACTGAGGCAGCCTCACAGCTTGTCTTGGGGGAGCTTGAGGACAGTTGTCCCCGCCTTTGAGTTGTTCTGCTAATGCTGCTCGGCAGCGACTCGAAATGAGTTGTTTCCCATACGGACAGCCTCCATCTTCCCTCTTCTGGGAATGCTGGTTTTACTGGATATTCTTCCATATGCTGGAGAGCAGAAATGCGTGAAGCTCCTCTCCTGTTTGATACCTGCCTTAGTGCCAGCTTCCCCCAGAGGGTGGCCTTTTCTCTGGGAGGACGGCTGTCTCGACTTTCTGCAGGAGCCTTGGGATGAATCTTGTGGCTTCAGCCTCAGGATGGATGGAAAGAAGGGCCACAGAAAGGGGAGAAAGTTACGCTTCCTCAAAAGAGGAGAAGAAATTCATTCCACTTTCTTGAGATGAATACCCCAAAAGAAGAGGGACAGCGAGAGCTGTGCTCATTTCTCCTGCTCAGCCTAAGACGGGGAAAAACCAGGAGGCTGTGTCTGATGACGGTCAGACCTCAGTAATTCCATACCTTGCATAGCGATTATACTTGGTAGTTGACAACGCACCTTCCCAGACTCACATGCTACTCTACAGTGGGGGCAACAGAGAGGTTAAGCAACCTGCCCAGAATGTGCATAGCAGAGCTCTGATTTGAACCTCATCTTTGACTTCCTGATCAGGGCTCTTTGTACTGTGCTTGCTGCCTGCCCAGTAAATCTCTTTAAAATACTTCTGCATACATCAGCTTCCTCGCAACCCATGGGGTAGGCAAGGAAGATGTCCCTGTTTTACAAATGGAGCAACTAAGATACTCAAATAATTGAGGCACTTGATGGTGGCTGCCCAGCCAGGGTTCTCAACCCCTAGTTATATACCATACTCAAGTGATGCAGAGTCAGTGACACATCATAAAATCCTAAACACAGACCAGAGATACTCCCAGGGGAGCAGCAGAGCAATGTCCTTCCTAACCTGAGCAGTTCTCCGTTTTCATTAACAAGCAGCATTCCCACAGAAAGGGCAAAGGTCCTTCCCTCCCCAGCCTCCAGGACAGAGACAGGTGTGAAGCAATCCTACTGCTGTTTCCTGCTACTTGAGATCATCTGAGGTCCTGCAAAAACATCATCTCTGGGAATGAAAATCCTCAACTTTACACCTGTGTCCAGCCTGCGGGGCAAGCTGGGTCAGTGACAACAGCTGGAGGGCAATATTCCAAGAGTTTCCTGCCAGTATTAACTACCCAGAGACTGGAGAGGTATCAGCCTCAGCTACTGGGCCATCTAGTTCAGTGAAGATACACAGACTTGGTGTCTGTTCTCACCTCCAGCTCCACCCAAGGGAGGGAAGAGTAGAGAGAGATGGGGCATAATGGATTTCCTGAGACAATGTTAAAGAATTCATAAAGCAAGAGGACAGATTTCTACAACTGAAGTAGAAGGTGGTGGCAGCTATTGGAATGCTTCAGAACCAAAAGTTTTCATTTCTTGGTTAACTGCCTCAGCCACCCTGATCATTTAAGCTGTGGAGATTGGTCAGGTCTGGAAAACAAGTGAAAAGCCTCTTGATGGAAAGAAGTTTTAGAACTGCATGGAACCTGGTAGACCCCACATACACCATCTCCCAAAGGTCTACCCCAATACTCAGATCTATACCCCTCTCCTGGACTATAGCTCAGCAAGTTCCCCTTCACCTGTCACCCAGCTGGTGTTCCCATCCACTGGGTGAAACCTTCTTACCATTGGAGAAACTTGCTGCCATCTCCAATGCAAATTCACTTATTTTCAAGGTCACTGAGAGGAACTGGTCCAAGTCACAACTTGGAGGAACCCTGTGGTCATCTCCAGAGCTCATGCTCACCTTCCATGATGGAGATGTGAACAGCTCTTCTCCGGGTCCTAGGGACACTGCTCAGCCTTGGACCATGGGTTATGGAGGGACAGCTTCGGCTGGGAACCATCCCTGCTCTGAGGTTAAAGAAAAAGAGAACTCTGTTAACTCAGTGCACAGACAGATGTGGTTAGGGCTCAGAGTTGAGGAGAGGCTATTAGAATTGCCTGGCTTTTTGTTTTTTTAAATCTTTAATACTTGCTTTTTGTCTTTAGTCCCTGGATCCCAGAGACACTGCTTCAAACTCATCTACCTCCTTATAGCCCAGACCTACCTGAACCTTTCTTTAGTGTGGCAATGGTGCCACTGGTCTCTGGGCAGGATTGTCAAGGAGTAGAGCCCAGGATAAGCAGTACTCCTGAACACGTGCCTGAAGACCAATATGGCAGCCTCCCCTGACTTCCAATAGAGGCTGCTGGTGGCAGGGGGATCCGTCTGAAGGGGCAGGTAGTAATGCTCTGATTCCCAGAGGTTAAGCTGGTTGACAAACCCTAGCTCTCTTGGCTAATCATATTCTTTCTAGGTCTTATCAGGTTCCAGGAGATGGGTTTCTGGAAATGCATGATTTACAGTTATATATGAAGCATGGATCCCAAAACTATTTTTGACCTAGTGTGACAGGGCTGTGGGGCCATCCCTGGCTTCCTGTAATGGACTAAGTCCAGAACCAATGAAATCTTGCTGCTTGGACATGTCCTCCATGGTCTATGACCAATTTCAGAACTTGGGAGGACAGGAGAGAATTACCTAGGAAGGTGGCTCCTGGGTCTGATGTACTATCTGCAATTAGCCTGCCCTCCCTCGTTCTCCATCAAGGCTCAGGGATACCAGGGTCAGACTGTTCCCCATGCCTTTAGCTGAGATGGGTCTCTTCACCCTCTTCCCTGTTCTCCTTCCCATTGTGGGAGCCATTGTGGCCAGAATCTTCACAGTACTCAAACTGCTGGCTCTTTTGAGATTCTGGGATCTGAGCTGGACCTGGTTTTGGGGGAAGCCCCTGGCAGCCTACCTGTGTATTTCTGGTGGCTCCCGTTTGATCTTGGCACTCGACTCCATTACTTCCTTTGCAACTCGGCCACTATAAGTAGTATAATAAAACAAGCAGCAAGAAATGAGACAATGTTCCAGGACTGGGCTCCTCTCCAAGATCTCAGATACTTTGGCTGAATCGGGAAATGGCCTCTTTGGCCTACCTGTTCCCAGTGTTTAGGTCACTGAGAAAGGCTTGCTTGCTGGGGTAAAGAGTTCTAAGATGTCCTGACAGCTTATCTTAGAGAGCTCTCTATCTCTGGAGTCTTTGAGATCTTCCATTCCCATTTAGGAATGATTCCTCATTGTCCAGCATGTTCCAAAAATATTTCCAAAAAAAGAAATCTTTAGATAGACATGAAAAGAATGACTGTTACAGTTCTTATTTTGCTCTGTTGTAAGGGCAGGAGGAGAAGATACACATTTTAAACCCTACAGACAAAACAGCTGCAGAGAAGGAAAGAAATAGTTGAAGGCTTAAGAGAATTGGATGGAAACCTCAGGCTTTTCTGGAGGTTCCTAGTTTCTTTGTTCTCAAGGATAAGGACCACTGAGCCACTGTTCTCCAGAGAAGGGTCTGAAAATAGGTCCATAATGATTACTTACTGTCACTATTTACCTGTATCGGAACCGGCTCCCTTTAAAGAATAAATTGCTGCTGGACACTGTGCGGACTTGGCTTGACTTCTCCAGCCTGCAGCAAGGCAAAGTCCAATGTGACAGATGGCCTGCAACTGCCTCACAGGCCAAGGCAGCGCATTCCCAGCTCCTTCCAAAGGCTACTTGAGGAAATGCTTCAGTGAAAGGCCCTTCACAGCCCCGCTGTCTCTGACTCTCCTTTAGGACCCACGGGCTGTGCCCCCGGCCTCAGTGCTGGGGACAGTCATGTTGAAACCCACTTTCATGTCAGGAGAGTGAGGCTCCCCAAGAGTGCTTCATGGGGCTCACCAGGGGAACTGAGAGAATAAATGTTAGGAATGATGGGCTGGGAGAATAATAGAATGCCACCCACTGAATCTCAGCCAGGCCACTTATTAGCAGTGTGACCTTGGACAAATATCTTTTCCTCTCTTAGCCTCAGTGTTCTTATCTATAAAATGATGGAGCTGAGACTACTTGATCTCAAGAGTCTCTTCCAGTCCTAGTATTTGATGACTCATGTCCATGTGTGGGTAATTGTGGTTGGAGAAGAGAGGGGGGGCTGCTCTTCCTATTCCGTCTCCCTCTTGGAGGGTCCTAAAGTGTATTATCATATTAAAGACTGAGAAGTCCTGAAATGAAGAAACTAGCTGAACTTGAATACAAGTTCCATCATTTATTTGAATTTGGAACCATTCCCCCTCCCCCAGAATGCCTATTAACATCACTTTCAAGGCTGTAGACAGCTGATGTGGAGACTCTGGAAGGCCATAGGCACTGTAAAATATCCTCTTGGGTGACTTCTTTGATCCCCTGAGCCCTCTCACACTTAGAAAAGGAAACTTGAGCAGAGCTGCCCAGAGTGAAGTCTCCCAAGACCCAACTCAGCCCATACGCCCTGGGTGCCTGTAGTACTAATCCAGCTGGAATGAATCTGGGTCTGAAGCCTTTGTCATGAGTGGGCAGTGAATATTTAGGGAGCTGTCCCCACAATCCATGAACAGCAGTTACCGGGAGACACCATCCCCACCTGTCTCAGGGCTCCATGAGGATCTGAGCCTACTTGCCCTCCTGCCCGAGCATATTCTTGAGTCTGACCCAGCTCCCTTCAAAGCACAAGGCCAAAGGTAGGGCCAGGGACCTGCATGTGAGAGATGCTCAGAGTGAGGCCAAAGTGGCCGCTGCTACAGACCTGGCATAACTGTGGATCTGTCCCAGGCTAGAGGCTTTTAACACCTAATTAGAACATTAAGTAATCAATGGAAAACAGTGAAAAACAACCTTGGTTTCCAGTGTGGGTGTTGGCAGGGCTAGCTAAGTGTGGAGATCTATTAATGGAAAGACTCAGAAACTGAGTTTGGCCACAGGTTCAGAAGCACAGTTCTGTTCCCATGACACAGATGGGAAAACAAAGGCCTCCAGAAATGGTGCTGAAAGTTTTCTTGGCTTTCCTTGGACAGCTGGGGACTGAACAGGAGGGAAATTTGACTATGCGAGTCTCTTCCGAGTCTCTTCTCCTTCATGAGAAGAAAGAAGCCCATCTGGGTTAGAATTCAGGCTGCCCATTCAGTTCACCCCTATGAAATGCATAGAAATTATTAAGCAATTCAGAAAGCCTGCCCAAGAAATGGCCTCTGGGGCTGTGGCCCTAGCTACAAGGAGGAGACCAATTCTGCTGGCCAGCATCCCATAGCAGCCAGTGGGTAGCAGAGTCTGTTCAGTGGGGAGGAGGATGGTGCTCCTGCTGCCTCCCTCCTGCCCAGAGCAATTCTGTTCTCTCCAGGATCCTTCAGGTTACTGGAGGGAGAACTATGGCCTGTCAGACATGGAATATACCACACAATCTGTCTTATGTTGTCCCAATTAAGATACAGCTTATTAAAACATAAGTCATTGCATTCTATTTTTAAAACAAGACCAAGGGTTTTAGTGAAACATACTTTATCTGGCATCACCCCAGTTTCTCGATGGGCTATTTCTTTGCTCCCTAATGCTTTTATAACCACTTTCTTAATCAAAGAAAACTGAGCACAAAAGCCTTATATACCTTACAAAATCTTTTGGTAAGCAAAGTTCTTGCCTTTGGCCGAAAGCTGGCTTCTCAGTAACAGACAAGTCCTTGCCTCCCTCCAGCTACCCCACCCCAGGCTCCTGGGCACTTTGCCTGTTAACTGGCAACACCTTTGGCAGTGACACACCAGGAAGGACTGGCATCAACCCCAGCTCAGCACCAGGCCATCCACTGGGGAGTGGGCCCCAGTGTCTCTCTAAGGCTTAGGGAGCTGCTCTGGGCTGTGCCTCCTCGTTCATGGAGCTGTTGTATTCTGGGCCTCCCAGGACTCTGAATGACTCCACAGGGCCAGCTTAATTCAAGTCAGGCACCGATGGGCTTTTTCTGGCCCAAGCCTTACCCTGAAAAGACCTAGAACTGCTTTGCCACTGGAGGCTGTCCAAGGACACTGAAAGGCAGACCCCTTGGGCAGTTCTACTAACACACATTCCCAGACCTCAGCTCTGTCCTTCCAGGGGGTACAGACAGACGCCCAGAAAGGGGTCTGAGTTTCATAATGAAGCCCAGCCTTGTCATCTCTCCTTTTTCAAAGTTTCCTGCCCATTCCTCTAAAAGTAGCTTTTATGACTTTGGCTCAGATAAAGGCAGTCCCTGTCACATTTGTCCACTCACTTGTAGAAGGCTTGGTTCTCGATTCCACATTTCCAGAGGTGCTTGCAGGCTTCTGGAGTTGGAGCAAAATATGTGAGAATAATTTTCTTTTCCTACGAAAAATCCCACATAGAAACAGCTGAGTGTGGATAGAGAAGCGAAGGGTAAAGTGGGCCAGGACACTGACCTCTGAGCTGTCTGAGGGCTCCCCATGACCGTTGGGGGAGGCTTCAGATGGGGAAGGGGCTGCCTGGCAGCTGGCTAGTTGGAAGGGAAGAGAAGCCTACAGGAGCCAATGGGGCAGAGCTCAATTCAGTGTGTGAGTAAGTCTCAGCTGGCACAAGTTGAACCAAGAAAGCCCTCACCAGAGAAAGTGGCACTCTCATCTGGAATTTTCTTCTTATTTTTTTATATTTATTGTCTTTTTTGGAATTTTCATATGGAAGCAAAAGAATCTTATTTTGACTGCATTTCCTGGAGGTATGGAACCTCTGGGTGTCACCAGCAACCCTGAGGAAGTCTTGTGCTCCAGGGCCTAGCCACCTCTCCATCCCTCACCTCCAGATCTTGGCTTAGCATGCAGGTGGCTTATCTCTACCTGGATGGACCACTTTGGTTCAGCGCTGGCCATCAGGTACCAACCCAGTGCCCCAGCCCTCCCTGAAGAGAAGAAAGCCAGTACTCACCTCTTTCTGACTTACGTATAAATAGAAAGTCTTTCCTTCAAATTTCAGCTTGGTCACCTCATTCCTAGAAGCACAAAGAGAGAGCCTGTCACCTCGTTGTGGGCTGCTTGTTCACAGCTAAGTCTTGTAGATGCACAGCCCACCCTAACTGGAAGGGGCTCCAGGCACAGACACAGTTTTAGCCAAAATCAGAACTGAAACAAGACAGCAGCGCAGTAGCCTTAGAGAACAGTTGTTGAAACAGTTCAATCCACAGTTTTCTCGTCAATCACACTATAATAATAGGGTGATAGGAAGATTTCGGGCTCATCAACAGTGGCTGTAAAGGGAAACATTTGCATGGAAAGTGAGTCTAGGTAGAGTGGTCCCGGCCATTTCAGGATTTGGTTCATAACACAGGTGCATTATCTGGATGGGACTGTCAAACATAAGATGCCACAGGTAGCTGATGAGGCCAAAGTTCAAGATACAGCAAATAATGAAAACAATGCAACCAGGTTCTGAGGGAGTTGAGTCTTTCAGGTGACTGTGCCACTGGATGGAAAATGCAGTTTAATGCAGACAAATGTCAAACGATCTCAGGGAGGGGGGGGCGAGACAACATACCAAAGAGAGAGAACAGATTACATGGAACAGTCATGCAGCGTACTGACCAGGAAAGGGGCTTAGGGGTTTTTGTAGAAAAATCCTTGAAGCCACCAGCCCAGTGAATGGCTGCAGTAAAAGAGGCAAACAGGATACTGGGGTACGTCACCCCCAGGACAGACACAAATCAGAAGAAGTGACATGGTTACTGTACATGGCATGGCTTAGACCTCACCTCCACATACTGCTCTCAGCCTTGGTTACATTCACAAAATGGAAAAATGACCAAGGTCTTAGGTGGATGTCCCTGAGAGCCAGAGAACTAGGCCTCAGCATCGGTCACTCCTCACTTCTCTTCCATTTGCCTGACAGAGCTGCCCTCTGGAGCCCGAGGCCCTCCACTTCACTGGGGGTGGAGTCCTTATTTTTCTACCCAACTGGGACCCCCAAGGAGGTCTGACCATGCCTATCTGCTTCTACTTGGCTTCTTCCTCTTTGCGATTTCTAGGGAGATTTCCTTAATATCCTAGGAAGTAACAGAAAGGTAGTGAGACCATGTACCCAATTTACTGCTGGACAAAACTCGGGACAGAGGAAGGTCACCTGTTCCCTGGAAATCATGGCTGGGTCAGGATGAGAGTTCACAAATGCTGACCACCAGTTCTGAGCTAATACAAGCCACATGGTATTCCTTCCTTGTTTGATTCCCTCCCAATCAGTCAATCAAGCTCTCTTATACACACAGCATACAATAAATATCAATTGATTGATATGTAAACAAGCACACAGATCATCTAGGCTTCAACCAGCAAGATAAGAAAATAAGCAGTCTTCTATTGGAAGTGAGATTGGGTTTACATCTATTATTTTAAACTTGAGACATAGTGAAGAGGAGACTTTCTGAAAAGTGGGACGTGAGAGAGGCCATAGAATGAAAGGAGTCTAGGAGAACCGGGTGAGCATCAGGTCTTCCGGAGGGGTAGGGACACTGTAGGGACTGCAGGTTCCTGTAACAAGTGTGTCCTACTTGTTTCTAGCTAAACATGCTGCCTGCCAGGGACCAAATGAGACAGCTATCCTGGTCAGAGTGTGGCCCAGGATCTGGGCCCTCTAAGGAACATCAGACACCCCAGCTGTATCCAGGCAGCAAGTACTCCTCACTGGGAGAGTGGTGGTCTGACCCTGCTCATTATCTTTTTATGAAAAGTATTTTGTTGGACAGAAGACCCCAAACTCTCACCATCGTCACCCAAAAAGTGCAGTGAGTGGCCTAGCAAATGGGCGTGTTGGGGTATACACTGGTTCTTCCAGCGCAGCAGGTTGCCTTGTGAAGTTGCTGTTTTCCTGGGGAGGGGGGCCTGGCTGGGCATGTCTGAGGAGCAGTTTCACCAGCACTCTGGTTGATCATCATATTGCCAATCTTCACAAGAGCAGTAAAGGTTGGAAAAGTGGTTTGGTGTACAAACTCAGCAGGGGAGCCAAGGAGGACATGGGAGGATGGACGCCCTTCAGCACCCCCAGCAGGAAGCTCGCCAGGAAGCAGTTCTGTCCTCAGATTTTCCTGTTAGCTCTTCTGGAGAAGGCAAAGGAACCACGACAAGAGCAGGCTTCCCCAGCTGAGCTCCACTGAGCCAAGGAAAGCCACCTGTCCAAGTCTATGGGAGGAGTTTGCCCCCTTAGACTTCACCCTGTAAGGCCCAAGAAGGCACAGAAATCACAGGGGCTTAGCAGAATATGCAACATGTTCTGATGAGGCTGGAAGATGCTTGCACAGTCCAGAAAAGGTCTCCAGGAGAGCAAAATGTCCATCAACAAACCAGAGTCTGTGCTGCATCAGCACCCAGAGCCAAAGCAGAACGGACCCAAAACAGGGCGCAGAGGAAGCAGTTCAGAGTAGCTTCAGCTGAGACAGTGGCTCTTGCCTGCTAGAAATGGGGGGGGGGAGAGGGAAGAAAGAGTGGGGATGTGACTCCTGGAGGCTGAGGATACCTAAGTTTTAAAAAATAGGAGAGAGACAGAGCAGCTTCTGTGCTCTTGCAGGCAGTGCCCACAGTGGGGCGCTGGCCCGAGAAGGTTGTTTTGCCAGAGCAACAGGGTAACTTATATCCACCCCAGAGATCATTGTGAGCCTCTCCTTTGTTAGGAGACTGGATAAGGGAGTAAGCATCCATGCAGATGCCATGGCCCTCAGTGGGGGACAGTCCCAAGGACTCAGTTCTCATGGGAACTTTGCTTCCCTAACATTGGCTCCAGCCCCAGGCCTCTCACCCTACCCAGAAATCAACCTTCCATACCCTTTCTCTCTGGAGAGGCTGTTGGCTCTCAGGAACACCCCTCTGGAAGAATAGGATCCCTAGGAAGAGACCACTACCTTCATCAATTGCCATTATGGATGCAAGGCTTTGGAGAGGGCTCAGAACCATAACTGCCCAATCACAGACAAAGGACACGGGAACCACAGCCCTCCCCAGTTGGTGAGGTATAAAAAGCCTGTTTTGGAAATGAAGACACTCACCATTTAATGAAGTGGACCCTCTTGTTTCCTTGTAGAACAACAAACCCAAAAGGAGTGAAGGCCAGAAATGCAGCATTTCCTGACACATCCTGCAACACAGAAAGACTTCTCATCGGGGTGATGCAGGCATAGAGGTGAAAGGGTGAGAAACATAGTCGTTCATCAGTGATAGGGGTTAATACCTGGCAGTAGGTCACAGAGGGAAGAGTGTGGCACTTCAAAGTACAAGCAAGTTACTTACCTTCCCTGAGCCTCAATACCCTAAACTGTTAAGCTGTAGATTATAATGACACCGATCTTAGAAGGCTGTTGTGAACATCCAAAGACAATGGCAAACCCTTACACATTGCTGGTGGGATTGTAAAATGATGCAGTCACTTTGGAAAGCAGTTTGAAGTTCTTCAAATTGTTAAACACAGAGTTACCATATGACCTAGCAGTTCCACTCCTAGGTATGTACCCAAGAGAATTAAAAACAGATGTTCACACAGAAACTTGTACTTGAATGTTCAGAGCAGGATTATTCATAACAGCCAAAAAGTGGAAACAATCCAAATGTCCATCAACTGATAAATGAATAAACAAAATCTGGTACATCCATACAATGGAATATTATTCAGTAGTAAAAAGGAATGAAGTACTGTTGCGTGCTACAACATGGATGAATCTTGAAAACATCACGCTAAGTAAAAGGTGCCAGTTACAAAAGATCACATGTTGTATGATTCCATTTATATGACATGTTCAGAATAGGCAAATCCATAGAGACAAAAAGATTACTGGTTGGCAGGGGCTGTGGGGAAAGGGAGATAGAGAGTGACAGCTAACAGAGTTTTTTTGGGGGGGGTGATGAAAATGTTCTAAAATTAGATAGTGGTGATGGTTGCATAACTCGGTGAATATACTGAAAACCACTGAATTACACACTTTGAAAGTATGAATTTTATGATATGTGAATTATATCTCAAAAAAGCTGTTAGAGAGAGAATGGCAGTTATCATTATCATGATGGCCCTACACACTGGGCTGCCTCAGGAAAGTTTAGCTGAAGAAAAGATAAGAAGCAACTGACCAATTGGAACAGCCATCACCAGCCCTAGGTGCCTGAACCAACAAAGAGGCATCCTGGTCACCTGTCACCATCAGTTGGTAAACATCAGGCTTGAGGTTCTGCTGAGCAAAGAGGGGAGAAGGTGCAGCAGAAGCTGTAGGTCATGGTTCCCTCACATGGGAAAATGAGCTCCAAGAGGACCATGCATTTTCTGGGCTGGGATGGGGAACAGAAAGCTGGTTGATGGATTATGCTTTCTCTGAGGAGCTTCCTTTGTGATGGCGGCCTCAAGTGAGAAACTGCTCTGTCAGGGTGTAAGTATGTTCAGGTGGCCAGAAAATTACTCCAGGATGCTGGTCAAATGCGTGTGTAGGATAGGTGTCTGGGCCATAGCTCAGAAGGGGCCATGGGGTCAGGGTCAGACACCTGGCCTGAAGCATGCAAGTGGGGGCTGTGGCTGTGGGACTCTCCTAGTCTCTCCCACACCCAGGCTTTACCTCCCTGGTAAGATCTTCACTGTTCAGCTAAGAACAGTGAGGTCTCTGCAGGGCCTCCTGAGCCTTGCCTCAGGAAAAATGGTTTTGCCTTAAAACTGTCTCTTAGAGTCACAGATACAGGTGTGACCATCTGGGACCAGAGAACAAACTAACTATATGTTTTGCAGATATTTCCAAATAATGTATTGTTATTATTGTCCTTTCCTTGTGGTCTGTCGTGACCCCGACACTTGGCTGCAAGTGTACAATGTCATTCAACCCATGGGCACAGCAACGGGCTGTTTAAAAATAACCTAAATAGAGATACTGTGAGGCCACGGGGCTGGATCTTCTCCTGCCTGTCATCAGTACTTGGTGGCAGTTGTTAATACCTGAGCGCCACACTGCACACAGACGTGGTCCCTGCCAGAGGCACCAGCCCTAACCTGGGAAGTTGGCAGAGATATGGGTCAGGGGACTGGCTTTTGCGGGGAGAATGCCTGGGAGGGCTCTGCTCACAGGGAGGCAGCATGCCTCAGACAGGGTGGGCACCGAGAGGCCTCCTGCTCACTGTGCAGGCAGGACCCAAGGAAGCCCTAAAACTGTATGTTTAGAAAGACAGAGACTTGAACCAGCCCTGAGGGCCTAGTAGTTAAATTCAGCATGCTCCACTTCGGTTGCCTGGGTTCGGAACCACACTACTCATCTGTCAGTAGCCATGCTGTGGCGGCAGCTCACATAGAAGAACTAGAAGGCCCTACAACTAGAATATACAACTGTGTAGTGGGGCTTTGGGGAAGGAAAAAAAAAAAAAAAGAGGAAGATTGGCAACAGATGTTAGCTCAAGGTGAATCTTTCCCGGGGGGGAAAAAAGACAGAGACTTGGGGCTGAAGAGGTCACCTTATTTGTACTCATAGAACAGGCCTGCAGGAAATGTTTATCAGATGATGGTGTAAGATAATGAGGTGGGCCAGAGGGGCCAGTGTGGCTGCAGTGGGGGGTGCATATGTAAGCAAAAACGAGTGGGCAAGGCACAGGTGTGGTAGAGGTGGGTAAGGTGTCTTATAGTGCTCTCTGAGAGCACTGAGAGATAGGAAGGGCCTAGAAGGAAGAACAGGTGGAAGGATGGAAACACAGGGTCGGGCCTGCAGAAGACTGTGGACGGCATGAAATAAAGAGTAGGGAAGGGAAGCAGGGAGTGGGCAAGGAAGGGCCTCCCTCTGCTTCTTGCACCCCTGACTCCTGTGGGCAAAGCAGGGCAGAAGAGCACCTGTGCCATAACCACGGTGCCGTGGGCTCCGGGTCAGACCACGCAGGCCCAGGTTCTGGCTCTGCCACTCACAGCCTGTGTGACCTCGCCAGATCCCTTCATTTCTCTGTGGTTCAGACTCCTCGTAAAACTAGGGTTGATAATATTATCTACCTCTTAGGTTGTGCTTCGTAGGCACCCAATACATGCTAGTTGTTGTGTTGTTGTTAGTATTATTAGAGCTGCTACTCATTAGCTGAGTTTGTTCAACTTAACACAAAATCTTTTTTAAAAAAACCTAACATTTTACTATTTTTCCTAATGTTGATGGGTTTAAATTTTGCCAGTTAGGAAATCTGAGGGTGTGGGAAGTTGGGGTAGAAAGGGAGATGTCCTTCACTGTTAGGGGACCATGGAGAAGAGGGATTTGGGTGATAGATTTGGGATTTGGGATGAAAGTGAAGTGGGCAGGAGGGGAAGGAGACAGCCTGTGACAGAGATCTGCGAGTCATCCCAGTGACAGGCCCCTCTCTGGCCAGAGCAAAGGGGAGAGAAGGTCCTTCCATGAGCTGGGCGGTGCTGGCCAGGTTACCTGGTTGGCACTGTCCATCTGTACCATCCAGACACCTCAGGGCTGGCCTCCGAGTGAAGGCAGGCATTGGAATTGGAGGGGAACAGCCTCTCCTGACGAGACTGGCTGATTTGGAACAAGGAGCAAACTGGGAATAAACCCCAATTAGACACCACATTATTCCAGTAAGTAACAGCACCTTGAACAATCCCAATCCAGTCTCTCCTAGGAAGAGAACAATTCTCCATACTGCTTCCAATGCAACAGTTGCAGATGAAGGCCACTGCAAGGCCCCGGCACCTGGGCGTCCACAGGGGCAGAGGGCAGCTGGAGTGTTTGCTACTTGTCTTTGGCACGGGAGGAGTGAGACTTAGAATTACAGCGACAAACCTCACGTCTGTACTAGCAGGAAAACACAGGCAGCCACTCTGACACCTTCTCTGGAACTTTCCCAGGTTCTTCTATCTAATATGTCATTCTCGTTGTGAGCCTGCCCTTGGGATTTGTGTGTGAAAGGACAAGTTATATGACAAAAAGAGAAGGAAATGAGGACGAGGAGAGAAGTGACACAGACAGTAGTAACCTGTTCCTCAGATCTTCCATCTGATCAAGCTGGAGTATATCTTTCCTCCCTGTGCCCCTTCCCATCCTGATGAAATCAGTACCCCCAGGACTGAGCCATTAATAGATCTGGGAGGTGGAATGAAAACACAGGTCTTGACAGCCACACAGTGGATATCGCCAGCCCCGCTCTACATCAGATAACAGTCAAAGGAATTTAGTTCACTTCTACAGTTGTGAGGTAAAAAATTTGTTTTCAGTTTTTCATCCTGTGGAAAGAGCTTCAGTCTTGGTTTAGGACTCCAGCTCTGGGCTTATTTACTCTGCGACTTACGTACCTTCTCTGAACCTCAGTTTCCTCATTTGTAAAACGAGGACAATAATACATACTTTGAGAAATATTATTTCCATTTGATTTTAGGGAGATGGTCTAAAGGACTTATTGCCAGGACATGGCCAGTGGTGTTTTACTTGGAGAGTGGATGGATTTGCACTGAGTCGTTCATAGGGAAGCCACCATCAAACTTGACCTGCATCAATATGTCATCATCAAAGGTTCACCCTAAGATGATCACTCTGCCCAGAAAAGGACTTTTGGGAATCATAGCACTGACTGGTTCTTAGAAGTAGGGACATCTGGCCACCTTTGCCCAGTCCCCACAGGTTCAACCTCTGGATACAGTGAAGTAGGCTTCTGTCTGCTGCAGCCCCAGAGGACATCCTGGGTGTGACAGAGTCAAGACCACGGCATTTTTGGTTGTTACGCCTCTCAGGCTCATCCAGTTCCCTCTCTGGAGCATGATTTCATCTAATTCAATCTGGGTGGATGAAGCCTCTATTATTCTTAAAAAACCTTAAGGAAGAAGATTCCATGTGCCCTTCCAGACATTTATGCCCATTCCTGAAAGAGCTCGTAGCTGGAAACCTTTATGTTAAGTCATTCACGAAAAGCACCCAGTTTCAATATACTTAAACGTGGCCACAAGAAACTAGAGTGGAAATGAGGAGGTAGCACCCCATAAGAGGCTTAGCGTCACCCTCTGACAGCTCAGAAATGGAAATCTTGACGGAAACTTGACACTTAAGTGGCTTTGGTCAAGTTCTTCATTTCAGCAGTAAACCTAACACTCTCCCCTCACTGCAGCCAAGAGGGGCCCACCTGAGGACGAGGGCGAGTCATCACTGTTCCTTCTTGTTCTGTTTCTCTGAAGTCAGGGGCAACTTCTCAAAAGGGGGAGGAGGGTTTATTTAGAGAGGATCCTGGGTAGTGGATTATGAAATTAATGATCCTATTTTAAGGGCAGAGGAAGGACACTGTAATTTATTTATGTGGTTGATCTAACCCCAGATACTGCTGTATTCAGTTTTCTCCTGGTCTATACAGAATAGACATAAAGCCACTTGGTGAACTTACATTATATGATGATTTCAGTAGTCTCATAGGTCTTTGTCTCTATCAGAATTGGCAGTGAGTCCTGCTTTGTTCCTAAATAAATGCCATCTCTCCAGAAGAGAGACCATGAATGATAACTGAGAAAGCACAGCATTGAGACTCAGACAATTCCAAGTTCGAGTCCCAGTACTGTCCTTACCAGTAACTGTGGACATGTTATTAGTCCCTCAAAGGCTCAGTGTTCTTATCTTAAAAAGAGGACAACAGTATCTTCTTGGCAGTGTTGTTGTCAAGATTAAATGAGACAGTGTATGTAAGTGCCTGGCACATGCAGGCTCTCCATAAATGGCACCTTCATGACTCATAATAAGGCTGGGTACAGGCTAGTATCTGTGACGGGTCTGACCACTCCATAAACCTCAGCAGGGCAGGAGGTCACAGTCTGAGCCTGCAGGAGAGCCAGGGCCCCCTGGAAGGAACAAGATGGTGGCTCCTGTGGTTGGAGAAGTGTCAGGGCTGGGGAACAGGGGCAACACTGGCTGCCAGTGGTTTGCTCCACTCTCCTCCTCCTGCAGCTGTAGGCTTGGTCTGCTGGGGGCTCCTGCCAGGAGTTGGGGGCTAGGGGAGATGCAGGGAGCTCGGCACAGCTTGTGCAAGTTCAGAGTTTGGGTATTATTGTAAGCCAGCTAGCTACTGAAGCCCTTTGGCTGTCCCACCCAGAGTTGGTAGGATCTCCTCTTCCTGGTCCCAGGGCCAGACAAGGACACTCTGGGCCGAAAGAAACCATCAGTGTGGACAGGAAGAACAGCAGCTTTTTAATCAGTCCAGGAGAGCAGAGCTCAGCCCAAGTGTTGTTCTGCTCTCATTTAATTATCAAAACGATCCCTCTTCTTCTGTCCTCCCTAGGGCTGCATGCCCCAGATTCCCTGGGCCCAGTAATTGCCTCTCCGTTAATAGAAATCATCAGTATTTATTACACCGAGAGCTTATTTCAGCTCTCTTTGTAGCAGCATTAAGGCGAGTGCTTGGTAGCATATCACCAAAGTGACTCTACTTAAAGACAAGAGTAAAGGCTCCCGAACCGTTCTCCTTGCTCAGGAGGCTGAGGAAATCCTGAGCCGGAGCCCAGTGAGATGAGCCGAGGGACCATGTATGGAATCTGCTGCAGGACCCTGACATGGCCCTGGGTGAACAAGAAGTACAAGGCTCAGCAACAAGGACTGGAAACCCAGTGAGACGACCGTCCCACCTTCTCCCCAGAGGAAGTCTCCTGGGGGCTTCTGTTCCTCATAGATACATAACCACGGGAAGTGACTTGAGTTGAAATTCTTGCTGTATCACTCAGGCCTTGTAAAATGTGGCCTCCTGGAACTTTCGTCTTCTTATCTATAAACCAGGAAGAATAATATCTACGTCCCAGGGCTGGCATGAGGGTTAAATGAGAAAATAATGGGAAAGGATTCCAGTGGGCCTACCATGGAAGGCAAGCCACAAACGTCTCTTCCTTCCTTCCTTCTAGGAGTTGAAATGATAGGCTATATGGCATTGGGCGTTGCACAGTGCCTGGTATGAATGCTGGCTCCTTGCTGCAGCCTCTTCAGCCTCTGTGTCCAATGATGGACAAACTCATGAAAAACAGGGCTGAGCCAGGAGCCCCACATTCCTAGGGTGCACGTGAATTTGGGCTGGACACCAGGCTGGCTACCACTGTAGCTTCCATACTGCCATGGGCAACAGTGGAGATCCCTACCCACCTCCACTCAGTTGTGTTCAGGCTCACTATCCGCCCATCTCTATGTGCTGTTAGGTGACAGCTCTGCCCAGGGACCCATCTCTGAAGAGCTGGGCACTCTGTGTGGCCTCAAGGGGACTGGGTAGGTTTGGAGTCAAACTCAGAGGTGACCTGGCACCTTCTGATGACCATATCTATCTTTAGGCAGCTATGTTTTTCAAGGTCCTGAAGTGACTCAGCAGTTCAGGGAGCATAGTTATTGAGTACCTACTGTGTACTTTCACACAGATGAGGAAAGCAAGGCTCAGAGAAGCCTCCAAAGGCCCCCTTATCAGTAGAAGACCAGTAGTGAAGCCGAGGCCACCTGACTCCAAAGCTCTCTTCAGTCCTATGCAGGCCCCCTGCCGACAGAATCTGAGAAATTTATGGAGGTTAAACTACATCTGTTATGCAGTGGGCTTTATTTAGGAAGCTTTGCTAATTCATTTGTAAATATCCATATGTCACTTTTTTTGGTGTAAACAGGCATGAATGTGTTTTCTGACAGTGCTGGCCCCCAAGAACACAGGGGTTATCTAGCAGTAGGTTGTGCTGGTGGATAGGGAACCAAGGGGTGGGGAAGGTGACCAGAGTTTCTGAGTGCCAGAATGTTCTCAAAGTTCATATTTGAAGTTTCAGCATTAAATCTTATGCAAGAATAGATCACCATCACCTGACCAGGGGGCCAAGGGAAATGCAACGCTGCCCCCACATCACTGGGTTCCCTGGTTTCTATTCTGTTCTTTTAATTTTTGTTGGAAATTTATGGTGTCCCCTCACCTGTTAGAAAGAAAGGGTCAGTGTCCTCCTGGTCCCATTTAGTTTTACTGGTGGTACTGGGCCCCCTCCAGTTGTGGAAAGAGAGAGGCAAAAATTTGGAGAAACTGAGGCAGAGACCAGGAGTGTCAAAGCAACTGGGATGTGGAGAGGAAGAGGAGGCCATGCAGAGATAGGAAGAGGCCACAGGTCTCCACTGCTGTCCGCAGTGACTGTGGCGGCTTGAGCTCATCTCCCAAATGCCACTTGTGAGTAATTACAGAGGTTTCCTCTGGGCAGAGCCTCCCCGGCTGGTTCTCGTCTCGCCCTCACAGCGCATAATGGAATTAAATGCCACTCCACTGCAGTTCCGCACAGTGACTTATGCTGCCGCAGTCAATAAAACCCACTCTTGGAAAGAAACTAGATTACGGGTCAGGGAAGGGTGGGCAGTCCGCTGAGCTGTCTCTGATCATTCCCTGTGGGGGGCCTTCCACATTCCTCCTCTCTTCATTTCCACCACATTACCCACTGCTGCCAAAGTGGGGCCCCAGTTTCAGATCTGTTATTCAGATTGATTTTGTCTCGGACCCTCCGACATTGATTGGCACCAAAAAATTATGCAACGTGGAATCCAGAGGAGTTTCCAAAATGAGACATTTTCTCTGGCATGTCACTTAAAGAGCCAATCATTCAGATATTGAAGGGCCGGATGGCGCAGGCATATGGTCCCTCCCTCCTGTCGCCCTCTAGAGGAGGCAAGGTCAGCGCAGTCTCTGACCATGGGGATCTTACCTTACATGGGTGAGGGTCTACCCCGTATGTCTCCAGTGTCTGTGCTTTTCTTAAAAAGTTCAGCTCTGATGTTGCTGGTGTTTGACCACTGGAATATAAAAAACGAGATCATTTCAGGGTTTCCTGTCCCTACAGGTTCCCCTGAGGTAAACTCACTATTAAGAAGTGCTCAGGGTGAGTCTCACACTCCAATTTTTCCATAGAGTGTGCTCCCTGCTCTGTTCTAGGACGAACTTCAGAGACTCCTGTCTAGGGTCAAAAACTCAGATGTCTTTAGAGTGAGGCAGGCTACATAATGAATGACATGGGCTCAGTGTAACAATAGGAAGTGGTGGGGACTGTGGCAAATTCAGGACTGTTACCCCATCTAATGAGAGCAGCTGCTCCTCAGTTCCAAGATCATAGTCATGTGGGAATTCAGGGCCCAGCATTGCTAGATGTGATTTTTTAAGAGAAGTCAGAGATACTAATCTTTATGTGGTGTTTCACAATTTTAAATACTACGGGGGCAAACAAAACACATTTGTAGGCTGGCTGCAGGCCATGGGTTTCTCGTCTGTGATCTGATCTAGACTGAAATACAAAGGGGCCTGTATATCTTGCTGGTACTGCCTAACCCTCTTCCTTTACCAAAAGGGAACATGGGAATGAAGGGTGACAAGATGCAGTAGGAGACAGTGCTGAGCTCCCCAGACTCCCCAGTAGCTCTGTTTGTCCACATGGTGATGACTATGAAAAGGAAACAAGCAGAAAAGGAAGAAACCAGCCCTTGCACCAAGCAATCTGAAGGGGCCTTTAGCATCATCCCCCTCCCGGCTGCCTCTTGAGCAGGTGCGTTGACGAGTTCAACACAGAACCAGTGGCAGTATCACCATCAGGCTCCCTCAGGGGCCAGAGCCCTGGAGAGGCAGACGTACTGAGACAGATGTGGAGTTGGCTTCGGTGTGAGGAGCCGGGGGGATGCTTACGAAGCCAGCAACAACTCTGATGGCTGGTGGGCAAGACTGCAGGTTGCTCATTTCTAAGTTCATCGTTTGCCTCCAGGAATATGGCAGGGCAGGAAACAAGCCAACCCAAGGGAGGAGCAGGCCATATTCCTTCTAGTGTCCCTCTGGAGAGGCATCAATCAATCAGCACCTTTATGTGCCAGGCTCTGTGCTGCTCATTGCAAAATATACCAAGAAATATAGTGCACAGTCTGGGCCCTCAAGGAACTCATGTTAGAGTTGGAGAAAGGAAACACAGACACGTTTTTACATCATGAAGACAAGGCTGAACCTGTGGAAGTAGTACTTGTGGAAGCCGGCATTATGCTGCCCATAGGCTCCTACGTCCATCAGTGCACCTGAGACACAGGCAAGGTGTTTGGGAAATGCTTGTGCGGTAGGCAAAGGGCCAGGCACCAGAGGCAGCTGAGCACCGCTACCCCTTCCAGGGAGCTTCCTCATTTCCTGTCTGGAGGCCGGCGGGCCTCGTGGGCTCCATTCACCCCTGGAGTTGGCTCAAACCTCCGGGGCCCTCAGAGTGGGCATCATTTCCTGGGGGATCCCCTGCCTTCTACTAGGTTTCTGAGGGACTGTCCCCATTGCTCTGACATCTCCTAAAACCCTCCTGGCAGTGCCTCCCGGCTGTCCCAGCACATCCCTGATCTCTCCTTTGAATAAACCGTGAGCCTTCACACAGGTCCATGGTTATTCTGACTTTTACCACAAGGGGCCGCTATTTCCCTAACAGAGTGATGGGAGGAGACCAGCCGGAGCTGGAAAGGCCTCGCCAGCTGGCGGCTAGGATTCCACCTCCAATAGGTGTCTCCATTTTCCTCTGGGAGGGTGGGAACCAGTCCTGCCACCCACGGTGGGCAGGAAGTCTGTTTACAAAGGCTAAGGAGGTTTTGGTGATGTATTTGTTGGTAAAATCTTTGAGTGAAGGTGAAGCTTTTTGTTTTTTGTGTTTTGGGGGAGATCAAGGGGTCAGGGTAGAAACTAGTTTAAGCTTAATATTATCATTAGAAATATTTTTTTCACCCCCTTGGGCATTGTCCTTTCTCAGAAAGATAGTTACACAAAAATTTTAAAAGATTTTTAAAAAACTGTAATGTATTAATATGATGGCATGTTTTATTTTACAACACGGCATTTTATACCCAACCTTTTTCTTCATGGTTTATCAGTTTGGGGAATCTGTACTCCAGCATGCCACACAAAGTGGAGCCCAAACACCCTATTGTCGTTTTTTAAAATCAATCTTTGTAGAAAATCTTATTTCATATGGGTGAAAGGATGTATGAATGCTATTTTATGGAACTTGGCATATTCTGAGTGAACTCAGAGAATCTGAGGAGGACAAGCCTCCTGCTTCCAGCTGCTTCCCCCTTCCTTCCCTGCAGGGGTATGGGGTGGAGTGATGCAGTACTGAAGACACAGCCCCCAAACCAGGTGCTCATAGGACACCCATGGCATTTATGAATCAGGCCAGCCCTGCACAGTCCCATCCACTGACCCTGTCACACTGTGACAGACTGAGGGCGGGAGCTTGCCCATTTTTCACATCCCCACTAAACTCCTCTTATCTTTTTTCTCTTCTGCTGTTTTTTATGTTTTTCTTTTCCTTTTCCCCAGTTCATGCTTCTTCTCTCTGTCTCTTCCTTTATCCTAGTGAAGCAAATACCTTTCAGAGGCCAATCTCTCTCCATTTTCCTTAAAACCACCCTCTTGCCTTTAAGCCTCAGCCTACACCACTCTTCTTGGAGAGTAAGCCCACAGGGCTTGAGTTGTGCTGTCGGCGGATCACTGAATGTGGTGCATCCCAGGGTCGGGAAGGCTGGGTCTGCGGGAGCAGAGGACACAGAGCAAAGCCTTTGTGCTCAAGCTGTGTGTGGAGAAGACAGTGTCCTGGGCCTGAACCAAGTGTCACGCACCTGAGTTCTGTCTTGTGAATCTCAGCAATTTTCCTTTCCAGCTTCTCTGAATGTTTAGGGAAAAACTGGAACTTGGAGCTGTAGCCTTCGGGGTGTTTCCCTGGGTCATAATCCCCAATCTCCGCTTGCAAAATGAAAGTAGAGGAAAACACTTATGGAGATAGGTAAATCATCACTGGCAAAGCAACAAGAGATTAACACACAGAGCAAAAGCCAAAGCGCGCACCAGATTTACAGAGAACAGTGGATCCTGAGCAAGGCTCTGGGTCAGGCAGAGGGCCTGCCCCTCAGGAGCATGCCCACCTTTGTTTCCCCAGGTGTGCACACTTGGTTGATATCAAGTCTAAGCAGAGACAATAGAGCTGACCCTGTGTTCTAAGGTCACCACAAGTGAATTTACAATAAAAGAGCAGAAGCCTGCACCACGATCCTCATCCATTCAGCCGTGAGAAGAGGGCCTGGGAGCAATGCTCTTTGTGGCAGCACAGGAAACTGTAAGCTTGATCAGGAAGACAGAACCTCTTGGGTCTGAGCCAGATCAGAAGTCTAAATCTTGTTTTGAGGATTTTAGCAGGGACACAGCAAATTGATGAATGAGCCATGACCCAAACTCAGAACTCAACTCTCAGTCTAAATCAAATCAAATCAAATGAATAAATCTGAATAAATATTCACTGAGGGCTGACCAGGTGCCAGGCCCCTTGGAGAAGACTGCAGAGGGGGAAGACCGGCTGTAACTAGAAAGTGCCATTGAGTTCTGGAGTACCGGCTCCTAAGGCTGACTTCTCAGTTCCCTGTGGGGGGTAAGGCTTTCTCCTCCTGCCATTCAGAGAGCCCATCCCTAAAGCTGCTGAGCTCTTAGATCAGTGAACTCAGGGGTGGTGACCCGTGGTGCTCCCCACAATGTGTTCCCAGGTCAGGACCCAGCTTTCTCCACATGAAGTACTCCACAGGGAACAGGGTGGGTATGTTAAGAGGAAGTATGTTAAGAAGTTCCAGCTGCTTTGTGGTTGTCCTTTCTCCTTCCCTAGTGAGAACCACAACCAGTGCAGATGAGGAATCTTGAGGGAGGAGTAAATATTAAGAGGAACATATGCCCTATTCTCACAGCTGAATATTGTACTTGTGGCACAAATCTACTCATTGTGCCTTCCAAATAACTTGGAATTTTTATCATTTAGCAAGAGACTAAAGGCTTCCCTGGGCCTAAAGTCTGGAGTGACCTTGAGCCACGGAGTCATTTATTATGGTTTTATTTTGAAAGCTCCAAGTGGAAAACATCAATGTTGGACATCAATTACTTCTTTAAAGATTTTATTTATTTATTTTTCCCCCCAAAGCCCCAGTAGATAGTTGTGTGTCATAGCTGCACATCCTTCTAGTTGCTGTATGTGGGACGCGGCCTCAGCATGGCCGGAGAAGCAGCGCGTCGGTGCGAGCCCGGGATCCGAACCCGGGTCGCCAGCAGCGGAGCGCGCTCACTTAACCACCAAGCCACGGGGCCGGCCCTCAATTACTTCTTTAAAGAAAAAAAAAGAAAAATTCATTACGGTTGTTAGGGTAAAAGTAAAGGAAAGGCTAGAGTTTAAAATTTCACTTAGACCAGACCAAGTTTTCTTTTGAAAACGAAAGGGGCGAGGCTGGCCCGGTGGTGCAAGCAGTTAAGTGTGCGCGCTCCACTGCGGTGGCCTGCAGTTCGCTGGTTCAGATCCCAGGCGCGCACCGACACACTGCTTGGCAAGCCATGCTGTGGCGGTGTCCCATATAAAGTGGAGGAAGATGGGCATGGATGTTAGCCCAAGGCCAGTCTTCCTCGGCAAAAAAAAAAAAAAAGGAGGATTGGCAGATGTTAGCACAGGGCTGATCTTCCTCACCAAAAAAAAAAAAAAAAAAAAAAAGGGGCATCTTTGGGTACCTTAGAGTTGGCAAGCACCTTCTAGACTTCCCGTTTAGGTGATTTTTTAAAAAACAGGAGTCTCAGAAGTTAAAGTTGCAATGGGCTGACTTTTACAATCTTTTATTTTTTTTTTTGAGGAAGATTCGCCCTGACCTAATATCTGTTGCCAATCTTCCTCTTTTTTCTCCCCAAAACCCCAGTACATAGTTGTATATCCTACTTGTAGGTCCTTCTAGTTCTTCTTTGTGGGACACCGCTTCAGCATGGCTGGATGAGCGGTGAGTAGGTCCGCGCCTAGGATCCGAAACAGCGAACCCCAGGCCACCGAAGTAGAATGCGCGAACCCAACTGCTATGCCACTGGGCCGGCCCTGACTTTTACATTCTTAATATAGCTGTGATATTTCTCTTGCCAGAAGAACTTTGGTTTCTTATTGGCAAGAATTTTCCAGGTTCTCTTCACAAAGTAGCTTCCTGGAGGTCACAGATTTCCAATTAAGAGTTCAGATTCTTTGATGGAAACTTCATGATTTTTGTGCTATATCCAAAACAATCCAGTGAAATTTTCAAGCCTAAGGACTAAGAGAAGTCTAGGAAGAGGCACTTAGGAGTCCCCTCATTTCATGAAAGGAGAAGGGATCATATATGAAGAGTGTATACCTTTCCTACTGTTTTGCAAAAAAGCCAGTCTGGGTATCAGCTGGGTACAGACTCAACTCTACCTTATTGGCATGTCAGGAAATGTGGTTGTCATTTGGAAATATTTTCAACTTTGAGCACTTTGAATGGAAAGGTCTCTGAAATAGATACCAGAATTCCAAAATGCTTCATTCACATCTTTGAGATTTACATGAAAGGATAGGAAAAAATTGATTCAGATTACTCTCCAGAGTCTCAGGAACTTTATCAACCAAGCAGGGAAAAACCCCCAAAACAGAGTCCGAATGACTTGAAGGGGCTGGCAGAAAGACCTTAGGAGCAGTTTAGGGTGGATTGGTCTGAGCTTTCTGGGTCTAGGGAGTCCAGGCAAAGTCCTCTCACTCAGACTCTGCTTCAAGTTAGATACTGTTCATATCCAAGAAGTAGTCATCTGTGGTAACTGAAATAATGTAATCAGTACTTAGCACAAAAGGCAAATTTATCCTGTCAAAAGTCATTACCTTGAAGGATATAAGCTGCTAACAAGGCAGCATCTGATGTTTTACAGAGGAGGCGGCCGTGGTAGAGATCCCTTTTGATCTGCAGGAAGACTAAATACCTGGAGAGAAGACAGACAGTGAACTAGAAAGGATTTCTTTGATTGCTTTAAGACATAAATATGTAATATAAGCCTATCAAAATCTTTGCGAGGACACTTTTAATATATATTTTTTAAAAAATCTCAAAAAATACCACAGAACATTTTCCATTTCCCTGCTTTCAAGTACTTTGCCCTGAACTGATTTGAGGTTCAATTCAAAACATCCTGTCAGTTTCCTTCTGTAGCTCATAACAGAAGTGGCGCTTCCTGGTAAAAGCATTGTCCCCCTGAGTGCTGGACTTTGGAAGGAGCCAGCCCCGGTCAATTCAGTGTGGAAGAAGAAATCTGTGTCGTAAGGGCCTGGGTCTCTCTCTGCCTTGGACTCTGGCTGATGTTCCTTCTTAAGAAGTGGAACGGTGGGTGAGGGAACGAGCCCAAGGAAGAGTTCTGCCTTGGCTTGCCAAGAGAATCTGTCTGTGTGTGGAACAGCCTTCAATTATGGGCAGAGGTTGACCAGACCTCTCAGAATTTGAATAAGGGAAGAAGATGCACTGGTGAAAGAAGAGTAGAAACTTGTGACTAGCATTTCTTCCAATATAGAAAGCTCTCCCCTCAGGTGGAAGGAAGATCTCAAGAACGACAGCTAATAGTAGCTGACATGTATTGAGAAATTACTGCCAGTCCCAGTGTGATGCACTTTACATGCAGTACTCATCTAATTCTCACATAACACTTTGACATAGGTACTGTTATTATCCCCTTTTTTTAAGATAAAGAAACTGAGGCTTAAGTGATTATCTCATGGGCACACCACTGGTAAGTGGCAGAGCCAGGATTCAAATTCAGAACTGTTAAGACTCCTGAGGTTGGCTCTTAATCACTATATTATACTGCCCTCCTTGCAGTATAACTGCTTCGTAGTTTCACAAGTAGTTGGGTGGACCCTATCGCAGTGGGATGGAATTGTTGACTTTCCATTTTGAAATGTCTTTATAAGGAGTGGGGTCTCTGATGTTCATAACCTCACAGGTCCCCTAAGAAGAGCAAAAGCCAGGAGTATCATGCTTGAGTGAGTCACCTACCACAGTGGCTCCTTGGCCATGGGGCATCTGTGGTAGTTTAAAAATATGACCACAAATTCTGCAATACTCCTCATTCCCAGAGGTAGAGCTTAATTCCCTCCCTTTGAGTGTGGGTTGGACCTAGTGACTCACTTCTAACAAACAGAATAAAGCAGAAGTGATAGTGTCTGACATCTGAGACTAGGTCATAACGTCACTGCAGCTTCCTCCTTGTTCTCTTTTTCTCTTGGATCACTCATTCTGCTTGAGGATGCTTAAGCAGCCCTATAGAAAGGTCCATGAGGTAAGAAACTGAAGCTTTCTGCTAACAGCCATGAAAGTACACCATCTTGGAAGTGAATCCTCCAGTCAAGCCTTCAGATGACTACAGCCACTGCCAGCCTCTTGACTGCAATCCCATGAGAGACCCTGAGCCAGAACCACCCAGCTAAGTTGCTCCTGAATTCCTGACCCACAGAAGCTGTGATATTAAATGCTTGTTTTTTAAAGCTAAGTTGTATGGCACTTCGTTAGACAGCCATAGACAACTACAGCATTCCTAGGGCAGTAATGGAAATGTAGTAAAATTCCCTTAAATTCTGTCAGTCTGAACTAAAAGAAATTGGGTCCTCCCTGGACAACTAGAGATTTCCATTGCTTCTGTTTTCAGGCTGAAGATTAAAACAGAGTATTCCATGCCCACTTGATCATATGAAAATGCTCAAGAGAAAAAGGACCATTGACAGTGTAACTTCGGGGGTGGGGCAGGAAGGAGTGCCAGCAGGTGACTCTGAGAGCCTTGGACTTGGTGATTCAAGTCATTAATAACAGAAATGAAGGAGCGATCAAACCCTCTTCTGTCCTAAGGCCTTGCTACTCAGAGTGTGGTCCACAGATCAGGGGCATCAGCATCATCTGGGAGCTTATGGGAAATGGAGACTATTAGGCCCACCCTAGACCTACTGAATCAGTTTAACAAGATCCCCAGGTGATTTGTATATAAATTAAAGTTTAAGAAACACTCCTAAGAAAATTCAAAAGCATCCTTCTAACCACATTAGGATGGACTGCCCTCCTCAAACCAAAGGGAAGGTGAGTGAATATTGTAGTCTGGAAGTAATGAGAACTCCCCTCCTCACCCCAGCCATCACCATCAACCCCACTCTGCCCCAATGTTTGCCAAGAAAAACTCAAAAGAAAAAGACATCATGCAGAGTGAATAATTAAAATGGATCTACCAAATCAAGCTTGTCTTCACTCTGCTTCCCACAGTGAAATGCCACATGGTGTGTGGAGGACAGGGGCAGAGGGAGAGCGGGAGAGGAGAGAGGGATGAAGGGTATGAAGGAGCTGAGGGGTATAACGGGGAGAGGGGAAGAGGGGGAGAGTGATTCACATGGTGTGTGGGAGAGAGGCGAGGAGGAGAGAGGGAGAGGAGAGGGGGAGAGTGCTTTTTTGCCTCTCACTGCTCCAACTCCCACCTTCCATGGGCTTGGGCAGGATGTGGAAGCAAACCTTTTGCCCTTTACTCACTGATCACTCCCTGGGCCTGAGTTCATACATCACTCCTCCCATACCTTTCTGCTGGTCTGTGTCCAAAATTCAGGGACAGCATATACTGGACTAAAGGAGATATTTCAAAGGGACAACAAGGCTCTGGGCCGTGATTCTCAATGTGGCGGTGAGGAGAACATCCCCCAGGGGAGCATGTCAGAATCCGTGTATGTGTGCGCTCCTGGATGTGAAAAAGCCCTTCTAGAGCTTCTGATTTGCTCTCTTCCTACTCAAGAGGGACATGCTCCTCCTCACACCGAGAACCACCATCTTTATGAGGCATCTTTATTGATGGGTGCATGACAGGTGCCTCAGGTGAGCTGGAAAGGAAACAAGGCTTTCCACTGCTGGTGGGTGGGGTTTCTTCAGACTTCTAGAGGTAGGACAGCTATAGGGAGGTCAAGGGTAAGGCCATGGGAACATTGTCAGGCAATGGTGCAGCAACTGGGGTGGGGGGTGGAGTGGGGAGGAGTAGGGGCAAGTCAACATCCTAAAGAAACAAACCACAGTCGTCAGAGGACAAGAAGAGATGAGCTCATGAAAGAATCAACTGATAGCTTCAGGGAGAGAGTTGTATTAGGGGTCCCTCCTCCCTTTTCTGCAACAGTGGCTTCCATCAAGCTCCATGTTTTGTTCATTTAAGGAGGTAACCAACAACTCAGTGTTGTTGGTCATGAAAATATATCCCATATGACTCAGAGCATCCTTAGACCTATTCCCAAGAGACTCTGGCATGTTCTCCCCTGCCACACATGGGCCTATGGAAGACTATCTTGTTGCCTGAGGCAATGCCACAAAGGCCACTGTGTTGCCAGGCAAGAGATCAGCCCGCTGGAGCGGCCCAACCCAGCCAGCTCCTGAGAGGCAGGCTAGTTGGGTTACCCAATCTCAGAGCCTCAGAACAGGAGTTATAGAGCCTAATTCTCTCATTTTATAGCTGAAACTGAAGTCCAGAGATGTAGAGTGACTTGTCTGAGGTGACACGGTAATCAGAATCAAGGTGGGCCTCCTGACTGAGGGCCTGCTGCTGTTTCTGCCCCCATGGTAATTCAGTTAGTCATCAGGTTAGAGAGAGACGGGTCCTAAATGAAGTCAGGAGAACTCGTCTTCAGAGAGAAATCCTCACTGGAACCAAAGAAGAAATCAGCTTTAGACCAGATTTAAGACAGCAAGCTTGCTCCTTAGGACACTTTTTTGGTAAACTTTGTCTATTTCCTTCTGGCCTCAAGGAGGCTTTACTTCACCTCCATTTTTGTTTTAATTCCAGTGTTGTCCTAAATTGATGGAGGTGTGAATCAGAACCATCCAAAGGCAGAATGAGTGAGAGCCTAAAAGATGGCTAAGGAAAACCTGAGTTTTTCTGTAATGTACATCTCTCCAAGGTATTGGCTCTGGCATTATGCTTTCTGATATCAGAAGGTGGGGATGAATCCACAGATATTTCCAGAATTAAAGGTTCTGAACTCTGGAAAGTGCTGGCAGCTTCTGAAGAGTTTCTTTCAGAAGATCCTTTGCCCCCACCTTCCCTGCAGTAGATTCTTTGGCCTTAGCTTTCTCTATTTTCTATCATCCTTTTTCCTAACTACAATCATGTTTAGTAGGTCTTCTCCCCCATACTAAACTGCAAGCTCCTTGGAGACTATGTTTTATTTATTTCTAATATTCTTCTAGAGAGCCTATACATCCTGTGCCTAGCTCACCTACTCACCCTCCCATCCATCCATCCATCCATCCGTCTAGTTCTGAGCACTCACATGTGCCAGGCACTGCTGCAGGTGCTGGGAATACAGCAGGGAACAAAACAGGTCCCTGCTCTTAGGGAGCTTACATTACAGTGGGGAGAGACCGACAACAAAATAATAACAAAACAAAAAAATAATGATTTACTGAGTGCATGCTGTGTGCCACACACTCTATTGTTGAACTCACACTAATCCTTGCAACAACTCATGAGATGACTACTGTTTTTATCCCTGCCTCATAGATGAGGAAACTGAATGATTAGAGAGATTGTTTATGTTGATATATTGATTGATGTTGATTAGATATATTGATTATATTGTTGCTTGCCTTGTCACATAGCTAGTTAAAGAATGACCTGGGATTTGAACCCAGGTCTTTTTGATTCTGTAGCTTGAGGTCGGCAAACTACAGCCTGCCATCAGAGTTTCCAGTGAAATAAAATGTTATTGGATCACAGCCATGCTCATTTATTTATGAATCGTCTATGGCTGCTTTCACTCTACGATGGCAGAACTGAGTAGTTGCAACAGAGACCATATGGCCTATAAAGCCTAAAATACTTACTATCTGGCCTTTTACAGAAAAAGTTTGCCAACCCATCTTAGCCTAAGCTGGGCTCAAGTGATGTTCACTGAAGGAATAAATGACCTAAAAACTCCATTCATTCATGCATATATCTGTTCATTCTATTAACATTTATTTTTTGAGCACCTGCTCAAACATGTGTCTGGCAGTTTGCTTCCATGTAAGGTGGGGCCCCATTTGTACTCAGTTTCCTTCTATTACTTGATCTTTCCAAAGAGTTCGTATACCTGTGGTCCCTGTTAAAAGCTAAATCTGGTGCCTAATCCCCATTTTCTCTGCCTTATCTCTAGCTCAGACAAGAAAATCTATTTATTACTTTAAAAAATGACAAAAGAGATTAATCAGGATTTGGCAACTAAATTTATCATCTGGGAAGAGTCCAAGAGATAAATTGAAGCACAGTTCTTCACTCCCTACCTCATCCCCTCCTCTCAGCCTGGCTCTATGGGAATAGCTGAGACAGCAGTGAAATTTAGGACCAGTATTGCTGGAAAAAACACTGACAGCTAAATTAGTTTGGCAGGAAGGTGGTATGGAGGGGTCTAGGACGGGAATGAATTATGGGAATTGAGTGAGGCTGGGGCACGTCCCCATTCTTTTAAGATCACAGGGAGGTGAATGAGAAGAAAGATGCAGCTAATTCCAGGGCTTCCACAGACTGTCTCAGGGAGGAGGAGGCACAAAGACACCTGTGGTTCACTCTCCTGATGATGCTTGGAAAATGCATTCTAGGGAAGGAAGGCTGGTGAAGTGGCCAACAAAGAGAAAATAGTGGAGGATGGTCAGCACAAACCCATGCAGAAGGGAGAGGAGCTCACGCACTTGTCAGTGTCTCTGAAGTTTGCTGACTTGCAGAGAGGCCTGGCCATGGTCTTCATGCTGCACTGACCAGGACTTGGATGATTAGCTGGGATGGCTTTCTCTCTGAGTCCTCAAAAGTTAGTTGCTTAAGTGTTAGGACTCTAGCTGGTGGGGAAAGGGGACAGAGGAGGATGGGGATTATCAGACAATAAATGCCTTTTCACATAAACAAAGGAGAACACCAGAGCTAACTGTACTTGTGCTCCAGGCAGAGCCCTTAGGGTCCATGGACCATGTATTCAGGCTGTCAGTAAACAGATAGTGAGACTTGGCTCAGTGCAAGGCTCACTGGGGAGTGTATTAAGAAGTACAACACCCTAGTGTAGTCATTAATCCTCCCAACAATTCTGTGAGGTAGCTATTACTATCCTCATTTCATAAATAAGGAATCTGAAGGTCAGTCAGAGAGGTTAAATACATTATGTTCAAGGCCACATATCCAAGAAGTGAGAGAAATAGGATCTGAGCTCCCAGGTCTATGCTGCTTCTCGAGTAGGAGAGTCTGTACACTAGAATTACGTAGTGACATTCGATTTAGAAAATTGTATTGTTAAGAGCTCCTCCTGAGGGCCAAGATAACCATGTTTTTGTCTTTTAATCAAATCAGAGAGCCATGTGTCTGTCGTGCTCTCACTGGCAGCTCACTGAGTTGTGTTTGACCAATCCCTCTCATCCCCACTGTCAGTCCAGAGAGGCAGAGACTGGGCAACCCTGATGCACGGTGTTAGGAGGCGAGGTGCTAGGCTCTCAACAAAGATATGTTAAACTTGCCCTGATGTGTGGACAGAGCGTGGACTTCCGGGGCTGCCTTGGCATCATCACCTCTTTCCAGAGACAGAGGCAGGTGGGCAGGCTCAGAGCTAAGGCAAATCTCTGGAGGTCATGAGCAGGGCAGGCTAGTGCTTTGCCAAACTCCTCTCTGTTTAAGTTGTTAAACATAGTGGTTCTACCCTCACTGTCCTGCCTAAAGCTACAGGATTGCTCATTAATATGGAGGAGCTTGGTTTTCAGAAGCAAAGTGGGAGCCACATCCACTGCTGTGTGGGTGAGCAGAGCCCGCAGTTTCTGTGCTCAGTAAGGAGCATGAGGTTCGGTTCTAAGTACACATTTCCCTGTCCTCAGTGCTTCAAAGTAGGTGAGTGCACACTGCCCGGAGCATCTGGAGGAAACAACCTTCCTGATCCTTCTGACTCCATCACAAGATTCCCCTCAACCTCCAATGGGGCCCATGCGAAGAAGCCACTTTCCCTCTCTGTCCCATTTCTTCGCTTCCTTTGGACTACTTCTATTTCTTGCCATCTTTTCTCTCCATTTCCTTGTTTTCCTTCTCAGAGAAACTTTTGCTCCTTTTATTTCATTTAAAGCCAGTGACACACTCTTCAGAAAGGAAGTGAACGTAATTCCATATTCTTTCTTCCTTCCTTCTTCCCTCCTCTCTCTTTCTTTGAGATTTTCCCAAGCAATTCAGGATCTAGAAGTGGATCTCAAGGCCTTATAGGACAAACAGTCTATATGACTGGCAATGGCCTCATCCCAATCTTTGCCGTCTCCAAGGTTTTAGGGAGGGAGTCGAGCTCGCAGAACTGTCTCTTCCTCAGCCCTAGGATTCCCTGGCATCACCCCTTCACCTAGGGCCCCACCCTCTACAAGGTAACATCAAGCTTTTGCTAATGTCAAAATTAGATCTTCCTAATATAAAAAGTAAAGATCCTTGTTACAGAGAGTTCCTGAATCTCTGAGGCAAGACTTTTAGAGTAAATTTGGCTCAGATATACAAAACCCCGGGAAAGCTTTGAAGCTACTATTCATTGACTCTCTTGTAGGATGGCATGGGCATAGAGGTTCTTTCTTATCCTCAAGTGGTGCTGGATGAACAGGATTCATTCCACGCAGCTGTCTGCCCGGCACAGAACATGATCCCCACAATGAAGAATTTATCACGGACTGGATCCATCAGCACACTGGAGTTTACCCACTTGGATTTTAAAATCTTGAGTACTTCCCAGCCTGTCTTTCACTGTTGTGCTGTGGCATTTCTCAGGTACATGAGGCCACTGGAGTCTATTTCAATCCCCAAAATAAGCAGCAACACAGCCCTCTCCAAAAACATCCACAGGGGCCACATCATTGATAAAATAAAAAATGCCTTTGATTAATTAGTTACTCCTCTTGCAGATGACCAGTTTAAGATGAAGTAGTCACACTTCTTGACGGAAAGCAGCTCACTCTGTTCCAGTTCTACTGAGGGCGTAGGCAAAGAAAGCATGTAGAAATGAATACAGAAGAGGTAAGGGTATATTTAGGAAGAATTCCTTGCCAATAAGAGTTAGGAGCTTCCAAAATAGAGGATCTAAGAGGTTATAGTCCCCCTTTCCTATGCTCTCCAACAGGTCCTGTGGCTGAGGGAAGTGTGTTCAGCCTTACCTGGTTATTTCTTCTTTCAGGGCAGCAGGATCTGCAGGGTAGAACTTCACACGGAAACACATGGTGAATGGAGGCTGGGCTGCAGAGAAAAAGAGGTGCCCATCAGGAAAGACCCTCCCCAAAGGTGACTGGGCTCCCCTCCCCACTGGGATGCACAGGCCTGTTAACCATCAGAAGAAAATCATCACGTGTTTAGGGCCAACTCCCATGTAGAACAGTGGAAAATTACCAAGACTTACTACAAGCGGGCAGTTCCATCCCACCCTCCCCAGGGGTGAGGCTTCCGTCTTTCCGTGGAGAATACTTACATCTCAGTTGCTTCACCACAGACTTTGTAAACTCCAACCAATGCTGAAATAGAGAACAAAGAACAAGAAAACCCTAATGAGAAGCAGTGTCAAATATAACTTGTTTTATCTGATTTAAATAACTAGACAGATTGTAGCCCAGGGTGAAAGCGGCCCAAAAGCTTTTGATATGTAGGCTTGGAGAGTAAGGAATGATATGATTTTCTGAAATAAGCTCCCCATGGAACCAGCTGCGAAGGGAGAAAAGGAAAGAGTTCCAGCTTCAGATGCCATTTCTCGGCTTCCCTGGCAACGCTGCCTTCCACAATGGGGTGCCAAAGTTCTGAGCCACGTTTCTGGCATACCAGTAGGCACAAGTGAATGCACGTATGTGTGAGGGGGACAAAGCCCCACCTGGCTTGAGTAGGGAAATGCTGCCTTTAATGGGTTGTGTGTGTGTGTGTGTGTGTTATGCACCAACTTTTTTTGGCAGGAGAGAGGTGAGTAGAGTAGGGGTAGGGACAGAGGCTATTGGTAGCAGCTCTAGAAAGTGTTAACAGGTGGAATTTCATATATGGTGAGAAGGCAGGGATGGCTGGTTTATATTCCATCTTTGTTTGAGTAACATATTGCCAACCCTTGTGTTAGGGAATACGTACTCAGGATTCCTTGGCATCCAGGGATGTTTGAAGTGTAAGTCTCATAAGGTAACTACCACAACCAATGTGTAGGATAGTATCCTGTTTCCCTTGTGTTTTCATAGAGGCAGGATATAGTAGCAATACATTTTTCCCCATGGTACTTATGTTTGGGGTAAGGAAGCAATGACACCATTCTCTATCTGTTTCCCAGTTCTACCTGGATGTTTTATAAAATGTATTATTGATGTTTGCTGCTTTTATGCTAATCAGGAACCTTGACAATTTGCAGAGAGGTAGAACTGCTATTATTTGGAGTTTGATTATCTGGAAATAGCTTAAAACCATAAGCTCTGTAAGGGTAGAAAACTCTGTCTTGTTTACCCCAGTATCACCAATGTCTAACACAGTCTTCAATATGCAGCTGTCGAACGGACGAAGGAACTGGGTCCATGCCTCCCTGTTTTCGAGCTACTTCCATTTAGTGTAACATCTTGGCAGAGTCCTCCCTCTGGCAGGAAAGCAGCCAGGGCCACGCAGACGGCATCCTGGCCTCCCTCGATTCCCAGCTCTCACCTTCTGGGCTGGGCCATGGGTCATGCAGTTAATGGACCCACTAAGAGCCAGTTCTTCCGTCAGCTCCACATGGATAATCTGGGCTGACATTCTGCTCTCTTGCTTCCTCTGATCTGAGTTCCCATGAGGCTGGCAACTCATTATAGCCACTCAATGTGGTTAAGAGGTCCTTCTCACATTACACGGCCCACCGCGGCTCGGCTTCACAGGGAAGCAAAGGCAAGAGATGAAATTGCACGGAAACAACTGGGGTTCCAGACTGTGCCCGTGAAGGCGGAGGCGGCCTGTCTGCTCAGAGCACACAGGAATTGTGTACAGAGAGAACATAGCAAGTGTCTGGGACTCAGTAAACAGAACGCCCCTAAACATTCGACTGATAGATTAAAATAAATAAACAAAGGAAGATAGAAACTAAGAGGAATCACTGTGAAATCTACTATCAGCAGAAGGCAGATGGAGCTGAAGGACAAAAAGGCTATTCCCCTCAGCAACAGCTGGAGAGAAGACTTTAGTTTGTAGTGGAGTGAGAGCTCCAGAAAGGAGGAGGCTGGGAGAGAGTGCAGGGTTGGGAAGGGAGTGGAAAGCTGTCACAGCTTGTCCAAGAGATTTTAAGGGTCTGGTAGAGAAATCTTGACAGGATCTCAAGAATTTGCTGATGGCCAGAGTTAACTTTTGCATCTGTCTGCCTAAATCTGGGTCCCAGAATCACTAGAAAACTGATTACACGGGGTTGGGGAGAAGGGGTCAAGATTAAAGGAAAAGAGGTTCAGAGAGGGGAATTTCCTCCTGTTTTGGGTGAATGGGCCATGTGCCATAATCCTCAGACTCTGGAGGCTTGAAAGGGTGCAGAGGAGAGGTCTGAGAGCAGGCTGAGACCTTGGGCCTCAGTCAGGAACAGGAGAGAGGGGGAATGAGGGCAGCTCCTCCAGGAGGGACCAGGACCCCATGGAGACCCCTGTAGAGCAAGCAGTGATGGGATGGATGTAAGCACTGGGTTCTGACTGCCTGGTGTCCCAGGGAAGGAGGTTAATTTTAGGGCCTCATACCCTGGGGGAGCCGGGAGCTTACCTCCTCCATCTCTGCCATGAATCAGTAGATCTAGGACAACAATTCTTTACAGGTCCATTTCCCCACAACTCTCAAGTACCAACTCAAGCCTCTCTGCTCTCCTTAACCCCTCAAAGAAGGCATAGAATCACACAACTTCAAGACTACCAGGTATGAATTCAGCATGGCATCTTAGAAACCACACAGGCTCTGGCATCAAACGGGTGACAGGCTTTGCCACTTGCCTTGGGCAAGTTACTTAACCTGTCTGAGGCTTTATTTACTCATCTGGAGAATGGATATTATAATTGTGGATACTCATCTCATTTGTGGTAAGGATTAAGTAACATACGTGAAGCTCTTAGCTTAGTGCCTGATACAACTCAGTGCTCAATATACACCAGCTGAAAGATCTAGGTTCATGCTCACTGCAGAGCCTGGCACACAGTAGCCACTCCATAAATGTTATTTCTCCTTTTCTCCATTTCCTTATTTTTCTCTATCTCCTACTGCTTAATCTTTCTCACCTCCACATACTCTCTTGTTCTCCTCAAGCACATTCTGATCTGACTAAAAAATAATGAACAGGATACATTTTTCCCTTTTTTCTTCACACACCACTCCCTTTGGGAGATGAAGAGACCTTGGGGTAACTGGCCTTCCTTTTTAAGGAGAAACAGCTCAGACCAAAGAAATAAACAACAACAAAAAACCCTTTGTAAAAATAGTCCATCATTATATAGTGAATGGACACCTACAGTACATGAGGACATGCACCTCCTGGTGTTGTGGCACTTTTGGTGGATCTTATACTATGGTCCAGAGCTAAGGACAGCATTTATGTCAAGACAGTGGAGCCTTTATAGGGTGAGGGGCTGAATTCAACACTACTTTCCAAACACTGATGATGCTCAAAATTCTGCTGAGCCAGGAGGAACAAAATATGGCAGCAAAGTGGGGCAGCGCTTGTCAAAGGAAAGGGATACAGGCCTTTTGAGTCTTTCCTCAAGCTCATTGGTTTAGCATAAAACCCTAAATGTGACCTGGGGACACAGTGGCTCAGAGCATCAAAGAACAAAACAGCACTTGATTCTGGCACAGTGAGGGGTATCCATTCATGCATTAGCTGTGGCCCTGGGCCCTGCTGGGAGGCTGCGCCCTCTGGGGCTCCAAGCCCCCAAGTGGCAGCAGAGATGAAGCCCATGTTTGGAGCTGTGAAGAAAATCAGTGGACCCATGAAAGTGGGGTCCTCTGGGATTCATAGTGATAATGTTTTTGGAGGGTGGTAGACAAGAGTGGGTGGTGGGCAGGGGTGTAGGGAAGGGAGACATTGAGGCCTGAATGCGTCTGCATGCTTTCCCACTTCAATGGGGATGCAGAGAGTGCATCCCCACAGAGAGCAAAGGGCTCATGGACAGAAGTCATAGAAACTGCAGGTGTCTGCTAGAGGGGCAGCTGGACAAGTGGAAGGAGAAATATGGCACTGTAAACCATTAACTCACCCACTCGTCATTCCTTCAGCAAATATTTATTGACTATCCGCTACATTCTATGCTCTGTACTAGGTCTGTGGGAAAAAGTGATGAATGAGATAAAGTCCATGCCCTCACGGAACTTACATTTTTGCAGGGAACACAGGTAATCAAACAGGCAATCAGCATGGCGTAATAAGAGCTCCAATAGGAGTAGTTAGTACAGGGCACATGGGGGCACATTGGAGGGGCCCCTCATTCAGAGTAGGGGTTAGAGAAGACTTCCCGGAAGAAGTAAAAGTCTAAGCTGAGACTGTACGTGTGAGAAGGAGTTAGGCAGAAGAAAAGTGTGGAGAAATGAGGAAAGGATGTTCCACGCAGTGGGAACTGTATAGGTGAAGGCTCTGAAAAGAGAGAAGGATGACATGTGTGGAGAGCCACTGTATTGTCTGCCTGGGCCACAGCAGGGAGAAGACAGGTCAGGGGAGATGAAGCTGGAGAGTAGGCAGGGGCCTGGGGATAATGGATTTGTTCCTCTATCCGTCTCAAATATTATAGTCCTTGTCAACGCCCCATGTCTGTAGAGCCACCCATATCGTGTGGAGCAGAACAAGAACTGCAGGATTTGCAAGGCGCTGAAAGGCCCATGTCAATTCAGCTCTATCTCTGTCCTGCCCAGATTGGGTCGGCGTGGCACCGCGGGTGAGGCCATTCCTAACCAGAACAATGTGGGTCAGCCCATTTACTAGAAAGGGGGCAGGAGAGGCCCAACCTGTGACCTGGGCTCCAAGGCCACAAGACTAGCCCACTGGTCTGCCTCCAACTGGGCAACTTTGGGCAAATCACTTCAGCTTCTAGGCTGCCATTTTAGCATCTGTAAAATGGTGGGCCACACTAGGTGAGGTAAGTTGTCTTCCAGGTCTCATAATATGATCTGAAGAGATGACCCAACTGCTAAACTCTGAATATGAGTGACAGTTCAAAGCTTCCGGATTATTGACCAACCCTCTCCTCCATTTGTGCTTTGAATATTGACTTACCCGTTGCTTATCTGGGTCCACAAAGCGGATCCCAAAATAGTCTTTCTCAAGTAGGTTCAGGTGGTGGCAAAGAAGGTCAAACAGGTACTGGCCTTTGGCATCTCTCTGCAAAGAAAGAAAACACTGAGAAATGAGAGGGCTTCTTCTCTGTAACTTTGTTTTGATAGTTATTAAAAACCATTTATAATAGTTGCATGAGGATAGTGAAGGGGCACATGTCCATAACTATGCCTTCCATATTGTGATGCATTAGATATTCTCGAGAATTCTGAGGCTTTTAGCACCTAGAAGGAGCCCAAGAACCCTTCCTTCCACAAAGATGTCCGAGAGGTCAGAGTAGAGTCAGGTAAGCCCAGTCTCGATCTCTAATGCACAAAGCTTTCCTAGGGAATGTTGCTGTAGAATATACTGAGTACAACTGGCTCTGCCTCTAAAGTATATCTCGAATCCTCCCACTTCTCTCCACTCCCATTACCAATCCCATCGGTTAAGCCACCACCACCTCTCAACTGGACCATAGCCAGAGCCTTCTAACAAGTTCTCTGCTTCTGCTCTCACCCTCTCTCAACACAGCAACCAAGGTGACCATAATTTAGATATAAAGTCTTTTTTGCTGAATAAGTAATACAGGCACACAGTAAGACATTCAAACGTACAAAGGGATATACTTTGAAGACTAAGTCTCCCGGGGGCCAGCCCTGTGGCTTAGTGGTTAAGTGCGCGTGCCCCGCTACTGGCGGCCCAGGTGCGCGTCCCGGGTGCGCACCGATGCACCGCTTGTCCAGCCATGCTGAGGCAGCGTCCCACATACAGCAACTAGAAGGATGTGCAGCTATGACATACAACTATCTGATGTGCAACTATGACATACAACTATCTACTGGGGCTTTGGGGAGAAAAAGGGAAAAAAAGGAGGAGGATTGGCAATAGATGTTAGCTCAGGGCTGATCTTCCTCACAAAAAAAAAAAAAGAGTAAGTCTCCCTTCTACCCTAGTCACCCTGTGCTTCAGTTCCACTCCCTAGAAGCAACTCCTTACCAGCTTCTTGTGTATCCTTAATGTGGTATTTTATAAATGGGCAAGCCTACATCCTTATACATCTCCTCTTTTTAAAATACATTGGTGGCATATTTTATACTGTATTCTGTTTCTTGGGATTTTTCCCCACTTAAGATATCTTGCAAATCCTTCTACAGCAGTATACATAGATACGCCTCACAGTTTTTAACTGCTGCATACCTCTGGAATACCTAAATGTATTTACCCAGCTCCATATTGAAGGAATTTGTTTCTAATCTGCTATTACAAACAAGGCAGCAGCGAGCACACAGTGATCTTTAATTACGTTACCACTCCTGCTTAACGCTGTCAGTGGCTTCCCGTTGTTCTCAGAATAAAATCCAAACTCTGATCATGGCCTCCAAGGCCCTACATGACCTGGCTCCCGCCTCCTCTCTAAACTCATCCGAAATCATTCTCCTCACCACTCTCTGGCTACAGCCTCTCTGTTCCTGAACGCTCTGAGGCTTTTCTTCCTGTCTTTGTATTCCCTCTGCCCAGAATGCCCTTCCTCCAGCTCTTCCCACAGGCACTCCTCGTCTCCTTGAGGTCTCAGCTCAAATGTCCTCTCTGCAGAGAGGTCTTTCCCCTATAGGATGGCCCATCCCAGTTACTATCTCATTTATCCTGTTTATTTTCTTTATAGCACTGACAACAATCTGTAATTATCTTGTTGATCTGTTTACTTATTTATTATCTGCTTCCTTTCTAGACTATAATTTTCATAGGGACAGGAGCCCTCCCCTACATTTAGCATAGGGCTTGGCATGTGGCAGGTAGGTCTTCAATAATTATTTGTTGAGTAAGTGAATGATTGAATAGAATGTAGAAGGTTAGCTAAAACGTTTCACAAAATGTTAGGAAATTAGGCCATTTCTAAACCCGTAATCTTCTCATTCAGGGACCTGCCTGAGTATCGGGATGAGCTGGGAGGAGAATGACTTGCAGGAAACTGTCAGAACATCTGGAGCTCTGCAAGACAGTGATCTCTGGATCTGTCCCCCGTGGTCTCCGCGGCTCAGCTGAGATGATCAACTCTGTGTCTAATTCTGCATCCAAATCAAGGTTGTTGTCTTATAAGATCCAAAGTATCTCACTTGTGCCATGGCCCAAGGCTATGGGTAATTACAGAAGGGCCTGGCCCTGTTCCAAGAATAGGCAGATCTTTAAGACCCCCACAAAAGGTTTACACCTCACCTCTTTCCCCTCTGCTGGCTCACCCTATACTTTCTAAGGAGAACTAGGGCAGGATATTAAATCTCTCAGCAAATATCTTAAGCAGCTTATCCTTGCAGGATTGGAAGGATGAGTGAGTGGACAGCTCAATTAAGGAAGGCGGTGCCATGTGGGCACCTTCCCCTCTTCTTCTGCTGCCCCACACTCCCTCTCTCAACATAATCCTGAGGGAGTGGACCTCATTCTTACACCCTTTGGTTTCCCACCTGAAAGAGCTCCTCTCAGGACAGAGATTTGTTATGAATCACACTGGGACTTCTGGGTGGTGGGCCACAGACCAGGTCTTTCCAAGGACTCCATCAACAACTGTCTTTTTGGGCAGGGGCTGTCAACTGTTTACCTACTGATGCCCCACAGTGTGATATGCTCATTTTTAAGGTTGTTTTAGGAGCAGAGGAAATATGTTTAACTCTATCCCAAGCAGCATATCCTGTACTATTATCTCCCTCAGAGCAACTGAAATGGAATATTAAGAGACAGTTGCATATTGTGAATATTTTTCTCTACAAATTTTACTTTGCACCATGCTGGCTACTACATTCTGATCAGCCGGGGTGAGTTTTAATGGCTAAAGAAGTCTGCTTCCATACATACAACAACCGTATTAGCAGGATCGTGGGGTAGCCATGGGAGAAAACATGCCTCTGTGATAGAAATCCCATGGACTTTTAATGTGAATCATGTCTTTCACAAAAACAACTCATTCTCATGGGCCTGCAGCTCAGATACACTTGTAGGGCTCTAAGCTGGTAAAAACTTTAAATTCAGTAGATCCAACCTCAGAGTTCTCCCACTTCACAGGAAGAAAAAGGAAGGATGGCTTTTCTCCATGTAGTCATGAAAAAAAGACGCATCCCATTATATATTCCCTATATCAATAAAAAAGGACCTTTTTCTTGTTATTTCTCAGCATCTGTTGAAACCCTTGCTCTGCACCATGAAGTCATAGTTCCCTCAGGTTCCCATTTACCAGTGGTAGATGCATGGTTTTGAGCTACAAGGCTCTTGTGTAGACTAATGAAGAGAAGCATCTTCCTTTGCTGTTTCTCCAAGGCTGGAGGGTGGGAGGTGAGGGGAATGCAGAGAGAGGTAAGAACAGAGCTCCTCTTTATAGCAGAATTCCATGAAGTTTAAATACCCAGCAGAAACACAAAGGCAGAATCAACTCAGAGCACTGCTGTAGCACCTTTCACAGTGGGTTGCAACCTGCCCCTCTCTTGGAGCACTCACGCCTGTGGCTGCTGGAGAGGCCTAAGGCAGCCTTTGGGAAGAAGTTGCATTCAGCTGAACTATACTAGTGGGCTCCCTACAACAAGCCACTGTCTGGGGCAAGGTTTTAGGAATTTTAAACTTCCTGGCCTTGTGGGTCCCCTTGCACTTCCAGATGCCAGCTGTGACCTAGGATTCCCTCTGTGTGGTCTCCCTGCTCTAAGCCTGGGGCTTTCTGGAATATTGTTGCAGCCAGTCTTCTCTTTTGGTGGGATGGCAACATCCAATGACTTCTATCTTCTTTTCCCTTTGCCTGCAATTGCCCTGGTTCTATGGCTAAACTGTGTGTTGTGTACTGAATGTTGTGCCATTGATTACACAGGAGAAACAGGCACTCACATTGACAGGTGATTACTGTTCAGTCACAAAGCCAGGGCTCCATGCCTGAGGACGTTTATCTTCAGGACAAGTGAGCTGAGGCAGAGCACCCAACTCCAACTAACCCTCTGAGGTTATTCTCTTCCCAAAGACATTATTGGGTCAAAATAACTTATTAGGCACACATTTAAAAAATAAATTTATATTTTATGAACCACAATAGTACCCACACATATTTGAAAATAATAGTGCATATATAAGTGCAACCCATTTATTCTCTTTATATGGTGCACAGAATGATTCATGAGCCCCTTGGAATCATTCAGCAACTCTGAGGTTGGGATAATTCATATTCTTGCTCCTCCCTGGAGCGCCTGGTTCTGATTTTCTATGGTGTGTCTATTCTTTAGGGAAGGGACTGAAGCAGCAAGCAGTAAACAGGCCTGGGCCAGTGACCTAAACTATTCAATAATGTTAATTGCATTTTCTGCCTCATAATCAACACCCTTAGGCAGGAGAGAAGCTTCATTTTAACCCATCATGGGGTCAATCCCAGGGACTACGGCATGGGACATCCTGATCAGAGGGACTAACATGTAGAAAGCCCCCACTCATTAGGCCTCACCTATTCAATCCAGCTTCCCTGCGAGGCAGGCAGATTTTAAGTTCAAACTACGTGAATCTTGAAGAGGGCAACAGCGATCACAACTTTCAGATCCTGGGCCACATGCAGTGAAATGGGAGCTGGCCACAGTTTCGTGGGCCCTTAGAGAAGGCAGAGGTGAGATGGAAGGAGTAAACAGTGGGCATCTGCGGTCCAAAAGCACAAGAGGCTGGGGGGTGGGGGTGGCGGGAGGCTCCGCCAGGATGGAGATGCCTAGAGGAGAAGGCAAGAGCTGAACAAGTTGTCTTCAGGGGCCTGACAGGGAAGGACTAGGCACCAGGGGTGGGATGGCATCTCAGCCTCTATTCTAGCTTAACTTGATAGTTAAATTTCTTGTAGACCAAAGACTTCTTTGTTTTTCTTACCAGTGTCCTCTAAGGGCCTGTGTGTGCTGATGCCTGCCAGGTTCAGGAGCAGATGCTGTGTAAAAGCACTTTAATGTCACAGAGGAACAGCCACATTAGCTCATCTTCTCAGGGCCATGGCATGAGTAAGCTGAGCCGGAAAGTGTGAATCAATTACTGGGGTGCAGTTCGCACACTATACCCAGCCCAGCTTT